ACCACATCTCCCAGCAGACTCTCGAGCTGCTTGCGTCCCTGGAGGGCACGAAGACCGGGGGTGTTAGGAGAAGAGACGTTGATGATGAGCACGTCGGCGTAGGGGCCGAAAGTACGGACGCCTCGGATGTAGTCTTCGTTAGAGTCGGCAGCAGAGGTCTTGTTCTTGCCCAAGTTGACGGCCAAGAGCTGTCCAGGTCTCAGCGACCTTGGCAGGCCCGCAGGGGGCAGGGGGTTGGCAGGCAGAGGGGCAGGGAACAATGACGGGTGTTCTCGCGAGAACCTGACTACTCTCTCCCTCAGGCGGTTCAGAGCTTGTCCATGGCCCAACGAGTTGAAGCCGTATCGGTTGATGGCTGCGTCGTCTTCTTCAAGACGGAAGAATCTAGGGGTGGGGTTTCCGGGCTGGGGTTCGGGGGTGATGGAGCCGACTTCAACGTAGCCAAAGCCGAGGTCGAAGAGACCGTCGATGGCAGACGCGTCCTTGTCAAAGCCGGCCGCGATACCGAGGGGGTTGGTGAGCTTGTGGCCAAAGAGCTAGAGAGAGTTAGCTTTGTTGCAAAATTATGTAGAGGGCATACCTCGGCTTGGAGCTCTGGGCCGTCTACGCCCATATCCCTAGGCCGCGCCCACTTGTCCCAGCTGAGGACGCGCACAGCGAGCTTGTGGCCTTCTTCGGGATCAGCGACCAGCCTGGCAATAGGCATGACCACATGTTCGTGCAAGAGCGACCGCGAGTCATAGTAATAGGCCAGACCGAGCACGCCTCCACCGAGCAGCAGCGTGGTGGACAAGTAGCGACGGCCTGGTCGAGGCGCCGAGGTGGATGCGAAGCGCTTGGAGACGGCAGACAAGCTGCCGGGGGCGAATCGCCGTCTGAGGGGGGCGATGGGAAGCCTGTAGGACATGGCTGAAATGTATGGGGGAGACTGTAAAAGACACAGATGAAAGAGAAGATGCGCTCATCGGGACGGCGAGTGCCGCTGCGCCCATCTCTTCTTTCATTCTCAACTTTTCTCGTCCCCCTATACATTCCCCATGTCCGCCACAGAGACCACCCCCCGCACCCGCCGCATCACCGTCCTCATCTCAGGATCGGGCACCAACCTGCAGGCACTGCTCGACGCCGCTGGCACCCCCCGCTTGCCCAACGCAGCCATCACTACCGTCATCTCCTCCCGTTCGAACGCATTCGGCCTCACCCGCGCCCGCACCCACTCTCCCCCCATCCCCACCTCCGTATGCGCTCTGAAGACGTTCCAGAATCGCAACCCAGGGGCCACAAGGGAGCACTATGATGCCGAGGTAGCGAGGCAGGTCTTGGAAAGCAAGCCGGATATGGTCGTCCTTGCTGGGTGGATGCATATCCTCTCGGACAGGTTTTTGGATATCCTTGATGGTAAGAAGGAGCCCCCATCTGCCCCTGCCCTCCCCCCTCCCGCCCCGAGCGACGCCCCCACCCAGGCCGAGCCCACTCCCTCCAACCCTACGACCGCCCCCGTATCCTCCCTTCCCGAACCCCCAGCGACCCAAACGTTCCCTATCCCCATCATCAATCTCCACCCCGCTCTTCCCGGTGCTTTCGACGGTGCCCACGCCATCGAGAGGACGCTGGAGGCGTTCAAGCAGGGAGAGGTCAAGTGTGCGGGTGTGATGGTGCACAGGGTGGTTGCGGAAGTAGACAGGGGAGAGCCGCTACTTGTGCGAGATGTGGAGATCAAGCAGGAGGACAACTTGGAGGATTTGGAAGAGAGAATACATGGAGTGAGTCGAATGATCTGTGCCGGGACGTTGACTGACCTTGGTAGGTTGAGCATGGTATCATTGTTGATGGTGCTCGTCTTATTCTGGAACAACTCGACAAGGAGCAATGACAAAATCATGTTTATAGAAATGTAGAGCTTGATGCCAAAATGATGATTCATAACATTCATCATGATGCTACACATGATTTTGGGGCTCTTGCTCCCTTTTTAGATTCGTCGACATTCACTGCTTGGCCTCGCCCTTTCTACCACGCAAACTAGCAAGGAGGATATCATGAGGCTTCTCGCCTCGTCTCTTGGACTTCAGATAGTCGGCGAGGAGGAACGCGACATCGAGGGATTGCTCATAGTTCAATCGAGGATCGCAGTGTGTCCTGTAGTTGAAAGACAAGTCCTTGTCCTCCAACTCCATAGATCCACCAATACATTCGGTCTATGACCCATCAGTCTAACCCTTTGGACATCTGGTGGGACTTACAACAGAGAACCCATCCTCATTCAACTCTCCAGTCAGCTCCAAATGCACACCGCCCAAGATCGTCCCCTTCTCCTTATGAATCTCCATGCTCCTCGTAATCTCGGTAATGACATCCACAAAGTGCCTAGTCTTGAGCGCCGGGTCAGTGACGGAAGATTTGGTGTTGCCGTGCATGGCATCGCACTGCCAGACGACGGGGTGGTCGGTCTTTTTGACAGCGTCAATGTGGCCGGGGAGGAATTGGTCGACCTTGGCGGCGCCGTAGCGGCCGATGAGGGTGACCTTTCCGGGTACGCGGTCAGGGTTGACGACTTTTCAGAGTTAGCGACGTTCGCAAGCATAGCGAGAGACGTACTGTCAAGAATTCGGACAATCTCTTCAGCCTCCATGGTAGGCCCAACCTTGATACCGCTACATACTATCAGCACTGTACTCTACCACTTTCGCATGACTCACATGGGGTTGGCAATTCCTCGGAAGTATTCCACATGAGCACCATCAAGCTGCCTCGTCCTGTCACCAATCCAGATAAAGTGCGCCGAAGTGTTGTACCACTTCTTGCCGCCATCCACCTCTACCTCTCTCAAGTCGCTAGCAGACATGGACATGCCGTGGAAAGACTCGCTCAGCTTGGGCGACCGAGCGCGGCGGACAGGAGAGTGGGGGTAAGACGAGGTGCTGCTATCGCGAATACGGGAGGCAGAGCGGGAGAGGATGGGGGTGTCGGGCTGCGATCTGGGTGCAGCTTGGGGAGCGCCCCAAGACCTGGTGAGAGCTTCTTCGTACTCTAGCAACAACGCTTCGTGACTAGTGTACACTTCAACAGTCTCCATGCCACCTCGCTCGCCTCCACCTCCACTGATGCTGCCGCCAGAAGCGACCTTCATAAACTCCAACGAATCTTGAAGACTTTCGATCACGTTGCCGAACGCAGACTGGAGCTCGGGGGAGCGGACGTGCGAGAAGGACCAGTCGACGGGATTGTCGAGGTTGGCGAATCCAGAGCTCAAGAGCGTCCGGATGTAATTGAGCGTGGCGGTAGAGTGAAAGTAGGCTCCGAGCAGCCTGTCGGGGTCGGCAGCTCGGTCATCCGGCTCATAACCATTCACATTGTCGCCCCTGAAGCTCAACACCTCCTTCTTCTCAGTCTCGCCTTCTTTTCCGCCCTTGACAGGCAGCTCGACGACTTCGGTAGGCTTTGACCGGGGTTTGGCGTACTGGCCCGCAATACGGGCGATACGAACGACGGGGAGGCGTGAGCCGTGGAGGATGATGAGGGACATCAAAAGAATCAAGGAGAGCTTGTGCTCGATTGGGTCCTGCACGGATCATCGTCAGCGTTTCAAAGGCGAGGCATGGACAAGGACGGACTTGGGAGCAGTCGTCAAAGAGCTCGGCGCAGTCACCTCCTTGAAGCAAAAAGGCTTTACCGGCAGAAACATCGGCAAGCTGGGCCCTCAACCTATCAATCTGAGACATATACCATCAGCAATACAATTCAATATGACCGATGAGGACATACCTCGACAGGGGACACAAGAGGAGGCAGCTTGCGGAGCTTGCCCATGACCTTTTCAAAGTGAGCTTTGTCTTCGTACGCCACATCCTGTACAGTAACGTCAGCTGACAGTCGTCTTATGGCTGTAGAGAAGCATACCTGAGTGATGGGCTTTTCTCTCCAGGAGGACGGGTTCCAAGCAGCAGGGGCCATGGTGTTGCGCTTTCCGGAAATGTTGAGGCAGGTATCGATGTGATTTTATTTTTGGTTTGTATCTCGGGGGAGTCTTGGATCTACCCTGTTGCGATCCAAATGCTCGAAGAAGTATACAAGAAAGAGAAGGATGCGGCTGCCAGCTCGATGATTCACTTTCGCCCGACATCATCCACCTCCACCGCCACACTCGACCGACGCACCGCCATTACGTACCTCCACGTGTACTCCACGCGACACCAGTCGGCGCTCACCGCCCAAAACCATCGGCATCGTTCAGGGTTATCCTGAGAATTAGAGTTAGTCTGGACCTCGTGCTCTTGCCCAATCCAGCAGATCCTGCCGGAATCTGCCCATGCTGTCCAATTCAAATACATGCCCTTTTTCCAGCCCAGACTGCTATAAAGCGGCTTTTGTGGCGCACAGGAGGAGGCGAACAAGGCGCTCATTATTCTGACCCCACCTTGATAATTGATACCGGACTTCGTTTGCTTGTTGGTCTACCCAGAGAGACCACATCGGACATCTTCTCATGGTGCTGCGACCGGGATCCTGCTTCCATGCTGCATGCTGCACCACCTGTCAAGCCTGTCACCAAACGCGGGAACACATGGAGCCCGAAGCAAGATCGAAGTGGGTACACAAACCCGATAACAACAAGTGACCCCGTCTTATTAGCCTTTCTAGATTTCTAATTTTCTGTCACTAAATACAAGCTAATTCCCTGTTTAGGCGCCCATTTCAAATCAAAATGGAACTAAACCCGACTAGACCAACTTTGTAATCTCACCAAGAAGGAGTTTCCTTACAAAAATCACAGAGGATGATGATGCATTTTTTTGGCCTTGTTTGGATGTATGTGGTACATAAAGGACAAACAGTGATTTCTCTCGTCTGCAGCTGCACAATACTCCCCTCGCAAAGATCCACGACGAGACTTGCTATCGCAACCCTCGACCTGGCCCAGAAGACACGCGAAGACCAGGGCCCCAGGAAGATCCCTGAAACGCCAATTAGCTTTTCACAGACTTCGCTGTTCACATTCACCACTCTTCTGTTTACTCCATCTCCATCTTCAAACAACACTCCAATCTTTACATTTTACTGTCTGTCTCTACTCTCCCCCCACGCCTCCACGCACCCACCACTTGTTTCATCCTCGATCAGCTGCGCGCACGGCCTATCTGCCATCACACACACACGCGCGCACACAGCCCGAATCCTAGTCGGCCTTCACCCATTCGCAAAGTTCCATCTCGCTTTTGATCACATCAGCGACATCGCCACAAAAACTTCCCAACTACCTCTTCACCCTCCCACATCGCACAATGTCCCTCTCCTTCACCGCCCCCCGCATTCTGCTCCTCCTACTCCTTCTCGCCATCGCCCTCCCCTCTCTCGCTGCCCCCGCCGATGAACCTCCCTCCAAGCTTCAGCCCCGATCTCCCCAGCCTTCCCGTCGTATGGGCGCTACCAAGCGTTCCAAAAAGGTTGAGCCCCTGAAGAAGAAGGACTACTCTTCCTTCCTCTGCCCCGGTGGCTCAGTGGCGTGCCCCATCACCGACGAAGGACATCAGGCCACTCCCGAAAGTGCTGCGGCGCTCGACGGAAGCTTGAACTCGCTGGCGGACTGGTTCAAGATTGGCTTCGAGTGTGTAGAGCTCGAGACCGAGTTGAATTCTTGCGGTGGATGCTTGGCTCTTGGCTCTGGGTACGTCTCTTTCGCGTTGCGCGCGCACCACCAACTGACGTTTCTCACAGTCAAGATTGCTCCCTCATCTCCAACGCCCGTGCCACCGGCTGCGAGTCTGGCAGCTGTCAGGTATACTCTTGCTTTGAAGGCTACGTTGTCTCTCCCGACAGGAAGACCTGCGTCAAGAAGGGCACAGCTACCCCTGCCACCCCTGTGACTGCTATCAACATCGAAGACGAGGCCCAGCTCCCTCTGCGAAGACGGTAGAAGATTTTATCTCCCCTCTCGCGCCTCGGTCTCGTCTTCTTGTCTTCTTGTCATACTGTCAACAAACCTTGTAGCATACACCTCTACTTTATGGACACTTCTATAGTCACCTATTGTACAATAACCTTATAATTCTGATGGACACTCCAGTAGATAAAGTACTTGGTACAACCACTGGATATCTTTTTATACCCTGGCTACAAACCTCGATTTATCGTATTCGTTCTTATTATCGGCTTTCTGCCTATTTACACGCCTTGTCTTTGTCTTTCGTCTTTACTAGATGGGTTCACCCGGCAGTTCCAGCCTTTCACACGGCTCTCGGCTTGGAGCAATGCATACACATCACGGGCTTTCAAATCTTCTTCTACGACGCGCAGGGGTTATGGCAGGACACGTCCAGCAAAGATATCGAATCAACGCGCTCGGCAGCCTGAGAGTATGAGATGTTTTCATGGAGCGCGCGCGATTACTATCCGGTGACCCGTGAAACACTGATAGGGACGGTATCGCTTTGCTTTTGCCGTCAGTGGGCTACGCGGGCTGATATCTATGCACAATTTGCAGCTTTAAGAGAGACAGTCTCGGCTTTCAGGCCTCGACCCGGTTTCGGGACACCAAGCCGGAAAACGGGACTGACGGGGAGGTTAGTGCGTGGCTGGAACCAAGAACCAAGAAGTGATTCAAGTTCGCCGTGCGTGCCATGTGCGCCGTATTCGTCGGTTCACGGTTGGTATGTAGTGTTGAGAAGATCTGAGTCGAAGTCTCATCTGGGCTCACAATCAATAGGTTGTAACCGTGAAATCGCTGAACGGTTCAATCACCCCAGTCACCACGCCCGAATTTTGACGAAGACGAGCTGGAGCATCATCACCCTTGTAAAGCGCTCGGCGACCAGATATATTCATGCCCGCCCAGGGTCTTTGCCATCTGCTGAGTACTATGAATCATTGTGTATCGCATGTGTCCGTGCTCATGCGTCAGCCACATTTGGGCGCATACGTGCGACGCTTGGGAAAGTGGGTACATGTGGGTTGTGAAAGACACCGATGAACGAGCGAGTCTATTGAGCGGGATTCCCCTGTCTTTCCATCAGCTTGGCGGCCTCCTCCATGAGGAACAGCTCACGTTAAAGCCGGGCAATGGAGGCAGTCCCCACTTGATAGGGTCCCACTCTTCAAGATGCAAGAGCACCTCGGAGGCGCCGAACTTTTCTTCGGGGTTGAGAGCGAGTAGCTCGGGATCCGGCACCCAGATGACTATCCGAATGATCAGCGCTTCTGGACTTGTTACCCCTGGAAGACTGACCGTTCATCCCAGCAGCAACACCCGCCAATACACCCGGTGTCCCATCCTCGAAGACGATACCCTTCCTCCTCTCCTCCTTCTGCTTCTCACTTACTTCTCCCTCGGCAGGTCCAACGTCACGTCCAAGGGATTCAGCGGCAGCAAGGAAGATATCGGGGTTGGGTTTACCACGCTTGACATGCGCCGAGTCGGCCGTGAGGGTACTGGAGGGAGGGAAGAGGGAGAAGATGTGGGGCAGGTGCGTCTGAGGGAGGTTAGACAGGTCGGCGGAGAGCAATCATCCAGCTTACAGTCTTGTGGATGAAGTTTTGCATTGTCGATCCTGTAGCGAGAGCTATGGGGACACCAGCAGCATGCTATTCAATGTCAATCTCCTTTGCACGACCAGACATGCACACGGCAACTCACCAATCCTTGCACCAGCTCTGTGGCACCCCTCATCGGCTCGACTTTCTTGAACAGCTCCTCTCGCCTTTGAAGACCCTCATCGATGAATTGGTCCACAGAGAGGTGCTCTTCAATGCCGGGAAAGTGTGAGAGGATGTACTCTGCGGCAACGCGTTGAGGTTTGCCCATGGCGCCGGATTTGATGGCCCAAGTCATTTCGTAGCCGTAGCGCCCGAGGATAGCGTCTGGAGGTGGAAAGTGTCAGAGAAGGCTCTTTCAGGTGTTCACACAATATTTGACACACTAGTCACCACAGTATAGACTCGCTAGAGAGGGTCAGTCATATATCGTGCAACAACGGAGAAAGACCTACTTCAGAGTCGCTATTGAGCAGCAAGATGATGAGCTTCTACAAATGGACTGCATATACCTGATTATACAACTTACACTATTGAATGCTATCGTCAGTATGATATTCTAACTGTTTTTTTGGGCACTTACTGAGAAGACCATCCATGTCGAAGATGGCATATTCAACCTTTGGCCTGACAATCGTTTCCGTCGTCATTGTACTCTTATAATCGTATGATACTGGACATGTGTGGTTAGCTATGCTCCTTAGCAATTCACTTCGACGCTCACTCACCTTTTACGCACTAATGACAATAGAGAAGATGCCGATGCCTCATGGGCCGATAATGTCAACAGAAGGCGGAGGCGGCTTGGTCCGCCTTCGGCTTGAAGGACGACCACCAGACTCTTGCTATAATTTTCCTCAAATGTACCTCGAGCCTCTACATCGACCGCCTGTCACAAGTCACTATGGCCTCCTTGTCAACAACCCCTGTACCATATACCCCATCTGGTGTCCATTTCCACTCCTCCCTTCCCTCCCATCTCGCCACAGAGCTCGCATTCCTTCACACTTTCATCCGCCGAGCAGCAGCTCAGCATCGGACCCAGCTCTTCTTGCAGCGGATGGAAGGGACACTGAGGATGGGAAAAATTCTACAAGTGTATCTGAAGGGGTGCAGCGAGAAGAGGGAAGGTCAAATCGAAGACAAGTGGAAACATCGCGGAATGTGTCTGGTGCGCAAGGTGTGTCTGTGGCAGCTCTCGAGTTGGCTCATGCTGACTCGTCCTCAGATGATCAAATCGCTTTACGATGCCGAATTTATCGTCTCCCAGATCGTCGACCTTCATCACTTTCTACCCCTACAGACGGCCGCCTTATCAATCTACGCTCGTATCTTCACAGTGACTCTCAACCTGGCCGGCGCGCTGGGGATGGATCTCGAGGGTCTTGTCTCCAGCGCGGGATCTGGGAAGCGTACAAAGTCAAAGAAGACCAGACCAGGCGTTCCAGAAGATACTCCAAACGGTGCTGTGGGAGGCAAATCGAATGCTGGCAAAGTCGAAGGGCGGTCACTGGACTTTGAGATCGGCGAGAAGATCGAACGCTTCTCCGTTCCTCTTGCCGCCGTCAAAGACTCGAGAAAAGCCGCCAACTCTCAAAGAGATCAGCTTTCATCTGTACGCTCTCCAGCGCCGGCTTTTGTAGTGAATTCGTCGACAAGAGCACAACCCTCTCAATCGCCTTCGCCCATCCCAAGCCCCGAGTCCCCAGATTCTTATCCTGAACCGGAGATGGCATTGAATTCTATGGAGGTCGATATAAACGACTTTCCTGCCGGATCTCTGCTGCAGCCAAAGAAGAAGAAGAAGAGGGTGGATGACGAGGCGGCGGCGCCAGGTGTCGCTGCCCCATCGAAGAAGCAGCGCTCTAAGGCTTCAGAGGATCATGTCACCGGCACGCCTCCGTTGCTCGTGCCTACAGTCACGAATGTCTCTCCTAAGAGTACCGTCGAAGCGCCGAAGAAGAAGAAGAAGCGTGTTGACGAGGAAGGCGCAAGCAGTGACAAGACAAAGATCAAAAAGAAGAAGAAGAAGGATGCGATGGATGACATCTTTGGCTTCTGAATCTGCATGGTAAGCTATGAATTCTTCCCATGTAGATCATGCTGACATATCTGCAGTTTGTCATGCGAGGTAGGCAAGCAAAGACGCAACCACTACTTTCACACTCACCTTGTTGTAATGGCATCGTTATGCCGCCATCACGCTCATGTTGATGACCATGTATCTCTATGAAACACAACATTACAAAACTTAGATGACTCATGAACCCAATTATGGTCCAATCATCCATATCTATGCATTCAACGCCGGTCTTGATCCAGTCACAGAAGTGCAGAACTCATTCAACCTTCCGTGCTTCAGCTTTCCCACGGCGGTGCACCGATTTTGATCCCGCTCCAAACACGCTGTCCAAAAAATTCATCCTCTCTTTCCTTCTTTCTTTCACCAACCCAAGCACAAGAATCGCTTTTTCGCAGCTCACGCACTGGATGGCGTCAAACGCCCATCTCTTCCCGCGCTGTGGGTAGAAAGTCCCCGGAGCCTCCCCCGCCTCACTTCCTCCTCTCTTTCTCTCCACGCTGTTCCCCCAACACCCGTTTCTTCAAGCCTTCTGATCCTTCCTCTTCCTTCACCTTTCCCTTTCCTTCCACCCTCTTCCTCTATGCCGAAGCTTCTACGCTGGGAAAGCGCTGTATCTAAGACTACAGATAGGCGGGTCGCGAGGCTGGAAGATGGGAATGGGCTCGGGTATATGGGGTGTTGAGAGAGTTTGGGGATAGGGTTCCTGAGTCTCGGGTGCGAGGTTCGGCCGACTTTGGCATACCAAACAGGCATCTTCTCTTCCTTTTACCGCTACCGGTTCATCCGAGTGTTTCGAGGGTCGAGTGTCTGGCCGAGGTCTGAGCTTGAGGGTCTCTTCTTTCAGTCTTTCGATTTCAGGCGAAGATACGAGCCTGGTTGGGTCACGGGACTGTGGAAGGGAGAGTGAGAATAGCTGGGCGGATGAAACGAATGCGCTCATAGATATAGTTATGCGATTGCCCTGTCCTCACTTCTTCTCGCCAAGAGAGTCGTGGATGGGTAACTCGATGGGGCTTACTCTGTGTCTTGGGTTGTTGAATTTTACTTTTCTTTCCCTTTTCTTTACGGTCATTTACCGCCCACACTTCTGGTATTTGACTGTTCCTCTCTTTTGCCGTCACGGCGGAAGGGAGGGTTTTGATGGGCCCGGTGATGTTTTTGAATTTCTTCATCGCTAGCTCGAGAAGTCTGACCGCCTGACATCGGTCATACAAGGACGCCTCGTGGCTTGGAGCGAAAACATAATTCTTCTGAGGGTTTCCATCTTCTGTACTTTCTTGTCTTTGCCATATGTATACTCGATTGTCAAAGCTCACTCGGAAAAAGTCAATCATGCCACAAACATCCAGAGACATTCGAATACACGGACGACCAACACGACGACACCGAATACATGATTGACAAGATGGACAAGACTTGACTACGTTCGAGAGTAGGCGCAACACAAGACTGCAAGGGAAGCGAGCAAGTGCGATGACCTCTAAACCTCTAAAAGAAGCCATTGACGACTTTGCCGGGGACATGGCCGGGAGGACCGACAGAGACGTTGAGATCACGGATTGTTCCCTGGTAGGTATCAGCTCAATACCAAACCCGTTTGACTGATAACTCACATCTTCCAGATGATATACCCACCCGTGAATGACAACCCCATCCGGGCCTCGCTTCTTCCAGTCCTGCACCCAACAATCAGCACGCCACACCCATGGAAACAGGCAGCAAACCCACATTCTTGATCACATCACTCGCCAGCAGGTTCTTCACCTGCTGCACCACATTCTCCTCCACCAACAGATCCAGGGAAGGCGGTCCTTCCGGGGTGGCGAGTGTCCGAGCGAGGGTCGCGAGGGGTTGGACGTAGCGTTGAAGGGCGGTGGTGGGGGGCGTGGCGGGCAGGCGGGAGACGTTGAGGGCAGTGAGGCACCCCACGCAGTTGGTATGGCCCTGTACGTACCAGGTCAGCACAGGCGTAGTCGAGTGTACATGGGACAGATCTCACAGTAACGACGATATGCTTGACTCTGAAGTTGAGAAGCGCAATCATCAAGACAGAGTTGATCGAGTCGTCTTGGGGAGAGTACAGGCTGCAACAGGTCGGTGAATCATTTGTGGGCTGGATGGTCTACTCACTTTGCAATGTTTCGGTGTACGAAGATGTCTCCTGGGTCACAGCCCATGATGGTAGTCTGTCTCGCTATCAGTACCTACCTCACCTGGGTTCATAAAGACACACCTCTGGCACACGGGCATCGGAACCTTGGCATTCTCGTTAGCGTTGCCCGAACTAACCGACGATTTAAGTGCAAACGTACATCCTATCCACATGATCTCAGGTCGCTGGCCTGGGAAGTGGTGAGGGAAAAACTGGGGTTTGGCGTCAGCCGACGGAGCTTGAATGGCCTCAAAGACTTGTTGACTTACTTCGGGGTCTTTGTTCCATACTCTCTTTGACCACTTGATATTCCGGTCGAAAAGTTCTTTCTATTTGGGTATGCCGATGTGTCAGCGATGCAGTGGAAACTGAGGCTGGGGGCATTGTCACTCACCATCTCAGGGTACGCGAGACTGGAGTTGGGGCGGCTCATGTTGATGGGAAGTTTATATGTATGTATGGGTCTCCTGAAGGCTATAGGGATTGATAATGGACTGACGACTGGAGAGCGAAGGAAAGTAGATTAGGGTGGATTCTCGCTCATTATATGTCCCTCGGTCGTATCGCAAGCTCGTCAACGTATCAAAGCACGGACGTCTATGGCTTCCATCAGCCAAAGCCAGCCTCCCTTAGATTGTTAGGTCCACACAGCAGCCGAAAAGCTGGAGCCGCTTCGGTCCTTCAGCTCACGACAGCAACCGTACAGAAGAATCCAGTGACCATCACCTGAAACAATCGGATCCCTATCACCCATCATTTCATCAATCAAGACCCTTCAGGACGTTCCTGGGTACTTCACGTTGTCCAGTTCAGCTGGGATTACTGCTTACGGCAAAAGGTACAGGATTGTGGGGGAGGTCGGGGTGTGGATGAGTGTGATGCGTCCGAAAGAAGATGTTGTGGGCCATCGGCAGTACAGTACCGAGGGCCGAGAGAGATGCTGGTCGGAAGAACAACGATCGCAAGCCCGGGATGGCGGCGGAAGCAACTAAACGTGATTATAAGGTGATCTGAAGCGCTCGTGCATAGGTCAGTCACCGTTGACACCTGCCTGCTAAGCCAAAGTTGTTCGGCCCTTGTCGCGATGGCCACCGTAATGAAAAGCCGGGGTATGGATTGGTATGACGCGTAAAAGGTTTGAAAGGCAGCTGATTTCCATATTCCCGATAACCTTCTTGTGCAATGCGAGGCCCGAGAGCAGTGGCTTACATACTGTACATGGCGTGCCGCGTGATCCGGGAACAGGATGTTCAGATACATACAACAGTGATCTCCCAGTCTGGCATTGTTGCGCGAGGGTAAAGCGATAGGGGCCGTGGGTCCGTGTTGCGCCACCAGGGTACCGAAAGTAGTCGCCGGTCGCCGGTCGACTAATATATGCCCATCACCTTCCCCTGCAGTGTCGATAAGCATCCCAGTATACCCACCATCCTCGCAACCTCAGCAGGCGATGAGACTTGCAAGAGGAAAGAAAGAGAGGGAGCCAAAGCCGGTCCTCGGGCCACCGATGAAGCGGGCACGTCCGCCCGATCTGAAAACTTGAGCCGACCACCAACTGTCCTCTCTCCCATACATCCACCCACTCGACCATCTTAACGCCATGTCTGAGCCCCCGGCTACCCCCAGTGGTGATCCAAGTACCTCGACTGCCGCAGCGCCTGCCCCAAAACCCTGCAAAATCTGCTCGGCCCCTGCAAAGTACACCTGCCCCCGGTGCTCGTCCACCACCTGCTCCCTGGCCTGCGTCAAGCTACACAAACAGAACGACACCTGCTCTGGGGTTAGAGATCCCGCAAAATATGTGCCTCTGAATCAATTTACCCAAGGGACGTGGTCGGACGACTACAAGTGGCTGGAAGATGGGAGAAGGCAGGTTGCTGGTTGGGGTCAAGGGGTCAAGGTGGAAGAGGTGGAGGGGGGCGGGAATGCAGGAAGAGGTCGTGGGCGTGGTAGGGGCGGTCCCGCAGGAAGGGGACAGAAGCGAAGTCGGACAGATGGAATGAGGAGGGAGCTTTTGAAGTGGGGATGTAGAGCAGAGTTTATGCCAGAAGGAATGGGCAGGAAGAAGATGAACCAGTCGAGCTGGAATCAAAAGTGAGTGGTGGTCTATACATGGCTGTCAGTTACTAATGCTATGATGCAGGTCTGGACAGCTACATTTGACAATACACTTGATCATACCCCATACGCTACTAGCAGAACCCACAACATCACCCTCTTCGTCCTCCAAGACCATCGCTCATCCGCGAGTCCTGTTTGCATCCAACGATGACTCTGCGACCCTGCCGAATCTCTCTTCATTTCTTCCCCCTCTCAACACACCCGTAGTAGAGCTTCAGCTATTACTACCCTTCTACTCGACCCCTTCCCACCCTGCACCAGCGCACGAGCTGCATCAGCAGCTCTTCTACCCGCCACTCGACGCCGACAAGCCTCTCAAAGAGGTCTTGCAAGGCGCGGCGTGGGTAGAGTTTCCCGAAATACGGGTGATGCTCAAAGACGAGTGGGAGAAGAAGGTTCAGAAGGGAGAGGTGGTCATTATCGGTCGGGAGGAGACGCAATATGACGGTGTCGCTGGTGTCGCCGAGAGAACGAGGGACTCTGGCTGGGGAGCCAAGAGAAGTGGGGCGCCGCTGACGGCTGGAGGAGCCGGGGCAGCAGTACCTGCAAAGAAGGCCAAGGTCGATGCGGGGACGAGTCTGCTTGCCCTTGGAGATTATGCATCGGACGAAGACAGCGATGAAGAGGTGGGAGAGGAAGGGCAGATCGAGGAGGGTGAGGACGAGGGTGAAGACCCTTCGCCTGAAGTGATGGAGGCAGTTGGGCGAGCGCTCATAGCAGACCTTGGAGAAGCATAAGCATTACCGTTGTACATATCAATCATCATGAACATACCTTGCATATCATTGACTCTTGCGCGCCAGCCTCTCCGCTTTTAGCTCTGCCTTCTTCTTGGTCCACCATTCTGACCTTGCCTTTTTCGCCGATTCTATCCTCTCGTACATTGCCTCGTCATACACCATATCCGCCCTCTTGTTCTCCTTGACGAACCTCGCATCCATCGCTTCCACTTCTTCCCTCAGCAGCTGATCCCATCCGCCAGGCGACAACGTATTGTCCGTCAAATGCTCACCTTCCCTTCCCAACACGTTCTTCCAAAAGGCCACCTCCAGCTTCATATCCGGTCTCAAAGACGCATACTCTTTCCGTCGTTCCATACGGCGTTCTCGACGACGAAGACGGGCGTGGATCATGGCCCCTAAAGCCGGAGGCTGAGGTTTCAGGCGGGGAAGGGGAGGATTGAAGAGTGTAGGACGCAGGAAGCCGACGATACGAGGGCGAGGGCGTCGCGGTTTGGCGGCTTCTAGAGCTGCCTTTGTAGCTACCCGATCATCGTGCAGACGATGATTGTTGGCAAGGCGAGCTTCGAGCTCGTCGAGCTCTGAGATATTGTTGTCCTGGAAGGCAGAGAGGATGTCGTACTGTCCTTGCAGAAAGGTTCGTACTTGGGGCACAGATGTCCAAGAACGCCGGCTTTTCCATAGTCTCTTTACTTCTCTGCCGACACTGGGATAGGCTGTTTCATCTCCGAGAGAGCCTCTGGCAAAGCGAAGCAGTGGCCGGTACAGACTCCATTTCGTCGGGATAGTATGTTCGGGGTCTCGAAAGAAGGGGACTGCAGGAGGGGGCTTCGTGCGGGGGGCCTTGATGCGGGAGGGGTCGATATGACGAGGAAGAAGGGGCCGCAAAGATGGGGCTGCGTATTTGGCAGAGCGACTCATTGGTAGAGTTGTAAAGGCAAGAGAGATTCACAACTTTTGCGGCGTTCTACGTAGTGATCGTGCTCGCCTCACGCCTCTCGTCTTCTGCTCAGCCTCAGGTCTGCAGAGCGCTCACGATCGAGATAGAGACCCAACTAACATGCTCTCCAGATAAACGTATGCATAGACATGGCGATGGCTCACAAAAGTCACAATATCTACTTTCTGTTCGGCGGCCGCCGCTACCTCGTCGGTCTTTTCTCTTTTGCCATCATCGCTTGGCTTGGTATCTTTCTTGTTGAGCGTGAAAAATCAGTCACGAAGCATACGCCCGTCCAGCCCAGTGATCGATGAGCCCTACAAGCACGAAGAAGCTGGACAAAAGTATCTGAAGCACGTTTGCATTGAGACTAGAATCTATAAAGAAGGTATGTCAATCCGTTGGTTTCTCCCAACTCCTCAAAGGCAAAGCGCCTAGGCAAGGATATGAAATAACGGTTGCTCCCACCCTGACCCATACTGCCGACTCGACCCATTGCCCCAGCCCGAAAGCCTAGACGCAAGGGAATCAGCAAAGCCAAAGATGACAGTCTATCTCGGGGAAGCCGTGTCCCGTCGACAGGAAATGTACGTCAATCGAATCTCCTCTGGTGATGTACCGAGAGGAAGGGACGCTTCCAATCTGTCGAAAATGCTCGAGAGCATCCTATAAGGATGATCGAACCGGGCCCTTGATGAAGAAGAAGAAAGAGTGTTGTTGGCTTGAAATTTATAGGAGAGTGGAGACACGGGATTACGGCGATACGGATCGTGTGGCGCGTGCGCGCGATTGTTTTGACCTTTCTTCCATGAGTTGCATCTTGCATTGCACCAGAGATTGTACATGGCCCAAACTTCCAGATAAGCGAACACCGCTCTCATTTTTCATACCAGAATGTCCATTCACTCCCGTACCACGTTTCAAACCTCAAAACCTCTCAGCCCGTCCACAATTCTCCAGATACCCCACGCTCCAGGGTCCGGCACCTCCCTCTTTTTCAAATCTTCCTGGTTGACATACGCTCCCCTACCAGCCTTGGCAACGAGCTCCTTGGTCTTGTCGGCTGCTACAAGGGCATCCTCAGCGGACGACGAGAGACCCTTGGAGGGAAGGGACGTGATGAAGGCTTGCAGAGGGTCAACGAGGGTTCGAGATGGGGGACGAGCTCGGGTGTCTGCAGATACATTAGTGACTGTGGCGTGTGTATGTAATAGACTTGCATTTGTAGAGAGTGGTGAGAGCATCGGCGGCGGCCTTGCTCCAGATTGCGGGTGATGTAGTCTCGGCTCCAGCAGCGGCCTGGTCTCTCAGACCCTTACCCAACCCAGCAAAGAAGATACTTTGCGCCGATCAGCCCCATCAATAGTCGAGCCAGGATGCACTTACGAGTACAAAGCCCCAGAAGTCCCACCCATGTCCTCCTCTACGACCTCTGCAATAACTCTCACGTCATCAATGACATTCTTCCCGCTCAGCCTGCCCTGCTCAATAGCCTTGAGCACGCCCTTGGCACCGGCTTCGAGGGTGAGCCCAGCATCTCCGTCACCGGCGATCTGGTCTTGCTCGGTGAGCTCGGGCTCTGCGGCGATGAGGGCTTTGCAGGCGCGGGTGATGGCCGAGAGGAGAGATTGAGCGTCGGAAGCTGAAGACGGGTTAGCTCACTGAACGCTGCAATAAGAAGAAACTTGCCGGGCAGCTTGGACTCGTCTCCAGGAGGAGCCACCTGAGCCTCTTCCGCCACCTTCTCACCAATCACCCCAGGCTCCTGAGCGGCATAGAATGACCACCCAGGGGCACTGGCAGGAGCGTCGAGGTACTCGAGGATCTGTTCTGAAGAGTATGTCGACTTTTCAGAGGCAGATGGGAGGAGGAGAAGGGTCAAGGAGAAACCTGGCATGTTGAGGGATGTCATGTAGGTTCCAGCGAGTACTCGGCGGAGCTTGATTTTGTTTGCTTGGAGCCACTTGGCCGCTATGACATGGTCAGGTCATGTCACTCTGAGCGATAGTAGCCTTACCTTCGTTGGTGATACCGCCCAGCTCAAGCTCGCTTATAGCTCCCAAGTTGTTCACCAGAAGCACAACCTCATCGGTGCCATCGTGCTTAAATGGGACAAACGACCTGTCCTTGTCTTTGGTGTCGGTGATCTGCGTGAGCATGTGAGAGACGAGGTTGGCGACTGTCGACAGGTCGAGCTTTGACGTGCCGGGCTCGTTGTGAATACCCATGCCGAGCTCAATCTCTTTCGCAGACAAGTGAGATTCACCGGCTCGGGTACCAGGGACCTTGTGCGTACGTCAGTAAAGTTCCAAGGGTACAGAGTTGACTCACATGACAGTGTTCGAGGCCGACACCAAGACTGCCGAGCCTGGAGGCGACAAACTTGGCAACATCCTCGACAGCGTCAAGGCTCTCGCCCTTGTCGGACAGCGCCGAAGCTACCTTGTACACGAGTATAGTCCCCGCAAGACCTCTTCACACTCCCAGTCAGCTTGTTATACGAACCAAATGTCCGAAAACTCACCGACGCCCGACAATACTCCCCTGCTCCCTCCCTACAGCCACGTCGTCCCCTACCAGCAACACCCTGACATCCCCCACCTTACCCGCACTCCTATGCTGCTCTGCTGCCAACCCGAAATGCAGCGCATCGCCGGTATAGTTCATGACCACCACCAGGCCGCCCTTTTCCCGCGTGACGAGCTCGAGACCACGTCGGATCTGAGCGACGTTGGGCGAGGCAAAGACAGAGCCAGAGATGGCGGCGGAGAGGAGACCAGGGCCGACAAAGGCGGCGTGGGCGGGTTCATGGCCGGACCCACCGCCAGAGAGCAAGGCGACCCGGTCGGATGCGGGGGTGTAGATGACTAGCTGGGCGTTAGTATGTGGTGTATGCGTAGCTGAAGGGCTCACCTCTTTGGGCTTCATCGAGCTTGACGTTGGGGTTGACGGTAGCCAGGCCCTTTAGCGAGTCGACGACGAGGGTCTGGGGAGTGTTCAAAAGATGCTTGTCTAGTGATGTCATTCAGCGACTGTGTGCTGCTGTGAGCTGTTTTCAGGATGCCACTCACGAGCTGGGGCCATGGTATGTATGGAGTGTTTACTGAGGGGGATTATAGAGAAGAAGAGAGATACAAATGGGAGAAATGGCTAGTCATGGGAATTTGAACAGCTGAGGACGGCAACTCGCGCAAAACGCTCGTCGGGCCGCGTTGTGCCGGCCGGGAGAACGTCCCGAGTTAAGCATGCATGTTGGGTTACCCACCCTATACCTGCAGAAGATATGCTGGAGAATGGCAGAGGAGCGAGGATGTGTGATGGATACATGATGCTAAGCCTGATGGCCAGACGATATACTATATGAACAAATGGTAGTAAGAAGAATTTAAACAAATGTGGTACCAACAAAATCCCCCATGATTATAGCTCTCTAGTAGATGATGCGAGGGATGAGAATGAAAAATGAAGTAATGCTAATGAGAATGCTATATCACAATGCGAAAACAATGCCAAATGAAACCCATGCTGGTGAATGTCCTTCTCTTCTCCTTGATTCTTCCCCTGAACGCCTACTCATCCGACCCCGCACTCTTCTCTCGCGGCATGACAAACGCAAACGTATCCGCACCACCCCCCTCCGCCCTCGTCCTCCCAAACACCGCCGAGCCCGTACCCCTCTGCGTCCGTCCCAGCACTCCATAACTCGTCACCGGCCTACCCCCGCCCACGCCCGATTTCTTGCCCAGGCCGCCGCTCAACGGCAGAGGTACCTGCTCTGAACGCGACATGGAGAATGTAGAGTGGATCGGCGCAGTGTTGGGACGGCGCAGACGTGGCCGGGCGTCTTCGGGTACATGCGGCAATCCCAAACCCAGGGCATCGAGCGAAGGCAACGACGGATAGTCAAACTCTGAAGTCCCCCTCGACTCTTCCGGGTTGAGTTTCTGCCTCGACCGGAGCGGCTGGACCTCTTCCTCTTCCGAGGTGGTGGCAGAGATACGCCGGCCGGACGACGCTTGGGCTTGGAAGCGGTTGAGTATGCTCTTGTACTCGGGGTCAAACTCGGTACGGTCGAGCTCTGCGCCAGTCCCGCGGGTGGGCGGAGGTGACAGGAGCTGCTCGTTGTCTGGGGTGGGAGGGGAAGACTCGGGGTTGAGTAATGATTGGATGGGGAGGTGGCTCTTTGGGGGCGAGTCTTGGGGTGGCGGGGAAGGAAAGATGAAGGAGATGGATTGGGACGAGGGCGCAGGGGATGACTTGTCCGACAAAAGGATAGGCTTGACGTTGGTAGCCACGCCAGTAATGGGCGACAAGACTTCTTCAGAGCGATGGAATGATTCAGGCGTATTAAACACGCTGCTATTGGCCTCGTGCAGATACAGCCCATTCTTCCCTCCTGCCAGCTTTCTACGCCGTGTCTCTGCCTGCATGACCGCCTTTGACCGTTCGGCTGACGATGTGGACGAGATGACGATGGGGATGGGCGGGCATGTGAAGGATTTCGACGCCGACGCGCGTCGGTCGCCTTTGAGGGTGACTGACACTTTGAGCTGGTAGGTCATGGCTACCAAACCTGACCGATGCGTCTCTCCCAGCGCCCACGTGCCCGCACGCCGTGGAAGGTTGACTGCCAGCGTACAAATCCCCGCTCCATTCGACCCCTGCTCCATTCCCGTACTCGCCGTCTCTAATATCTTGTCGCGGATGACGTGACCCTCTGCCGCCGGCGACTCTGGTTCTCGTGCCACAGGATCGGTAGGCAAGCGGTGGAATGGTGGGCGGGGAGAAAGGCTTCGACGTATGATCGATGACAGTTTCGAAGTGGTCTGCGTTGGCGAATGGGCGCGGGGAGATTGGGTGTGCCGCCGCTTGCTTGGTGAATGACCGTTGAACGACTCGCGTCTCCCGTCAGCAGATTTCGGGTCGACACGCTCGATGAGACGCTCAAAGATGACCGACACCTTCTTGACGAGCACTGCAGGGTTCTCTGGGCGGACCCGGACAGCGACATTGAACGAGTCGCCGGGACCAAAGGCACCGTGGGGTACATTGATGGAGACCCGAGAACAAAGGGTATCTGAGCCGATAAAGAGCGGAGATGGAGGTGAGAGGGGCATGAGGGGTGGTGATTGGTAGTTTTGCAGCTCGAGTGCGTACGCCTTGGTGAACCCGTTCCCGACGTAGGGTATTGTCTTGTGCTCGAGGACGGCCTCCATGCGCCACACGACCTTGTACTCCCTGATGGTCATCGAGCTCCGTCCCTGGACGGCAGCATCCGTCGGAATGATGATTCTGAAGGGCGACTCCCAATCACCCAGGCTGATGTACTCGTCCCCCTCGGGCGGTACGAGGATGGTCTGTGTCTGCTCATAGAGGGTATTTTGGAGCTCGCCCTCGAATGCGCCGCCTGCTCTGAATTCTGTGCACTTTACGCGGAGGGAGACGGAGCGGACGAGGAAGGGCTCTGGGACGACGGAGGGGCGTTTTGTGATGATCTTGCCCTGTACGACGACTGGGCTGACGCCGAGGTGGCCTGCATCTGTGAGCGGGGGCCGGAGCGGGGGTGAGCGGGAGGGAGACGTACCGGCGTGGGGGAAGTTGCGGCCGCCCGCGTTGCCGTGCTTGGGGACGAGGAAGAGGTCGAGCATGGCTGGCTACGGGGGTCGGGGGGGAGGGGCCATGGCGGGTGCGATTATATAAATATTTGCATCTCAACGGCGACTAGGACGAGACAGCGCGACTAAACCGCGCTAGCAGATGACACACGCTAATAGCAGATGTCGATCGTGGCGGCATACCGCGCGGCGGGCTCCTCGGCGGACTGGCTCTCGCTGCATCTGGCCGCCCATGCATACCTCGCAGCCAGGCAGGGGGCATGCAGGATATGCAGGGCATGCATGGCCTCGCGAGAGACAGCAAGAGAGACACCCGCCAAGGGACGAGGTGGCTAAAACTGTAATCCCACCCAGGCACCACAATCCAATTTCTCGGTCGGTACGGCACCAACGGCACGCCGCCTTTCTTATTAATCAGAGCTAATCCGAGAAACAGCTAGAACCCAATAGCCCCATCCATTACATTGCTCGTCGCCATGCACCACCCCCGTCAGCCACAGCTGGGCAGATCTCCCAGCTTCCGACTTCCCCGGTAGCGAGACGGACGCAAGGTTGATCGCAGCGGTATGCAGACCCATCACTCAACCTCTAGTCGAGGGCCTCGCTGTCTTGAATGCACTGTTCCTTGTTACCAAGTGGGAATCCCGCCATCCGGCATCCCTCGCCCACTCTGCTCCACAGTCCACTCGCACCACTCTATTACATCTCGATGCACAGTTTTTGGCTCTAGTCCTATGCGTGTATACTAGACAGCGCCGCATGTATCATACATGGCCCAGACAGATCCATGCGCACCATGCGAGATCCAAGAGGGTATTTTATCCACAAGTTTGGTACCATGACTCAACTTGTCTCTGCTAGTGTGAGCCAGTCCGTAATAAAAGACGGCGTTCACATGGACACCGCAGATCTTTTTGAGAGTAGTGTCACTCAATTGATCTCACTGACGCATGCCCTGCCCGCGTGCTTCGTTTTTCAGCGTCCATTACTTGAGGAAACGGCTGCTCTTGGCGGGAGATCCACGACTACATACTACCGGTGCCTCGTGCCGCCTTGCGTTCTCCCCTCTCAACCCTCCTTTGTTTTTGTCACCCTCTCAACCTTCCATCTTCCGGCCTCCGGTGTGTCATGCCAGATGCCGAGCTATGAGCTTGTGGGCGCTGTGAACGACCCTGGCTGTGTTGGACGTCGGGGGCTTTACAGAGTGCAGCGGGCACTGAGCGGTGGATCCCAGCACAGCGGGCCGTATTCGGGTATGCAAAGAAACCGATTGGACCCATATAATTCGAACGCGTTCCCGGACCTTGGTTAGAGGAACGAGGAAAAAGAGGTATAAAAAAAAGCGTTCATCTCGGACCTTATAGAACGCGTAGAGCTTGATCCTGATCATCCTGAACAATCCTGGTCATTTGTTTGTACCTTTGTTTCTGGTTGCTAACCTGTACGGTAGATGAACGGAGGCTATGTACGGTTCACGGAGGGGCCTTAAGACGGAGGCGAACAAGATGGATGCACCACATGCACTAACCACATATGGCCAGTCCGGGCATACGGTGGTGGGAACAAAAGCATGGAGAATTTCAGAGACAAGGCACCTGGAAGAAAGATCTGTATCCATGTTTTGTGAAGCGGAGCGCCCACAGCCACAGCGCCCACAGCCACAGGCGGTTGACGGTTCACGACCCCTCACGGCTCACGGGAAGGTTCTTCCAACAAGAGTACGCATGTAGTAGACAAAGTTCCGGTGGTATCGGTCGTCAGCTTTCGCCAGTACTACCAAAGGTTGGAACCCAGTTAAACACGGTCGAGATCAGTTTTGGAACAAGTATCAAATGCTGGTATAGGCACCGAATTGCGCAGGCAATAAAGGGTCTCACAATGATCAGCGCGCGTCGTCACTCCATATGAGATAGAGGGGAGAGGGAGCGCGGAGCGCGGAGCGTAAACAGGGTACGGATGTCTGGGACCTGATGAGCAAGGATGGGCAAGAGGACAACGACTTGGAATGGTTTGACTGAGACAGGCTTTTTGGAGCTCCAATCGTGCGAGGCGGATCATTGGTCCATGGCGCATGGCCCTTGTTGATGAGACTGGTACGGGAGGTCCATTGCATTGAAGTGTGGGGTGGGCTGATGCTTATGTACGGAAGGGTCAGACTAGCAGCAAGCTCTGGAGGCGCTCAAGTCGAATATGACGGGGGCGTTGACTGAAGCACGGCATGCAAGGACCTCGAGGGTTCGAGTTGCTCTCTTTCTTCCCTTTTTGATGAACCGAGACAAAAGCCACTGTATATGTGAGGGACTGTGACTTGAAGCTTCGCCCTGCCTCTATACTACGGACGCTTTGTACCATTACTAGCCCCGCTACCACCGTTCAGCGTTGGGCCTGTACACGGGCTTCGTCCTTAGCTTCATATACGAAAGACCCTCGAAAGAGGGCCAAGACGGCTGTAGAGCTTAGAGATGCCAAGGCAACAGGTGAACGCGTAGCAGAAGACTATGCAGCTATGCATAGCAGGCCCCACCTCTCCTCTAGATCATCTACCATCCAAGGCTAGAGGTCTCTCCACCTCTTCGGACAACCTGATCGACCGCAGCGCTGTGCCACTTGGCGTGAGCACGATCAACAAAGACTACGCAGTATCATAGGAAGATTATCGCAACGGATCACGGAATGGAAGGGCACGAAAGATGGCAAGGCCGAACAACCTCTTCCATCATCTCCTCTCGCCCGAAAGTCTGCTTTCCTTATCATCCCCCCCATTTTACAAAGAGCGGAGCACGCCGGCCGAGTGGAAGGTGCCACAAGGATTCAATCGCCGAGTGACGTGAGGCTTCTGTTGACTACTTGCGCATTACCAATCGCCGTCGTTTCTCTAAGCATCCCCTGGTGAGTCAGCCCCCTCCATTCCCCGGCGAGCCTGCGACAGAGGTGACTCAGCATGCGTGGCAACGCCTGGGAAGAATGCGTATAAAGCTCCGCAATCTTCCTTCGCGTCCACAATTTCTCGCCTATCATTTTCCTCCGTCTTGCGCATTTGTCCTGACAAACAACCCCTCCACTCTAGCAACAAAACATCAATACAACACAATGGTCAAGGCTATCGAATCTTACGACGAGTGGAAGGCTCTCGTACGTCTTCTCTGTCATTATGGCACGGTGATCTTGCTAACCTCGCTTATCTTCAGACCACCAGCGCCGAGAACATTGTCGTCGTTGACTACTGGGCGACCTGGTGCGGTCCCTGCAAGATGATCTCTCCCCACTTTGCCAAGCTCGAGGACAAGTTCCCCAGCGTCAAGTTTGTCAAGGTTGACGTCGAGGAGCAGGAGGTGCGTTCGCTTTCAACCCGTGTACGGATTGATCACTGACTCGGCTCTACAGGAAGTCGCCAAGGAGGCTGCTATCAAGGCCATGCCTACTTTCATTGCCTACAAGGACGGCAAGCCCTTCAAGACCATCACTGGTGCCGCCCCTGCCAAGATCACCGTGAGCGCTGTTGTAGAGTATTTGGGGAATGGAGGCTGACCAATCATCATTACAGGGCTTGCTCGAGGAGGTTACTGCTTAGATGGAATCGATCTTTTTTTGCGAAAAATGCTGTCAGAAGCTGAATGAATAGAATGGAATTGGTTTTCCTGCATGGAGACGGAGACTTTGATGTTGTGACAAGCTGATCTCGTAGCGAATACGCAGGCTGCAGCGCTGGGAATGAAGGGCCGTCATCCGGGCTCAAGATGGCCGCCATCCGGGCTCAAGTTGGCCGCCATCCGGGCTCAAGTTGGCCGCCATCTGGAAGCAAGAATTGAAAAACATGGTGCCATGGCCCACGCCCGCGTGGACCGCTCTCATTTACAGCCTCATCCCCGCTGATGGGAGCATCATGACGCGACAGCCGTCCTTTCCACGCTCACTGTTGATCGTCTTGAAATTTGTATATCGCCACAATCTTACCGCAACTCCCCATCAACATTGGAACAGAAACTACTGATATGGTCAAAACTATCGAGTCGTACAAAGAGTTCAACGAGCTCGTCAGTCTTTGACCTGCCTCTTTTGCGTATCGGCGCTCAGACGGTACTTCCAGAGATCACCAGCTCTGACGTCGTCATCATCCACTTCTGGGCTACTGGAAGTGGTCCATGCCAGACCATGTCCCTGTCCTTTAGGTCTCTTGAAAGCGATTACCCTGGCACAAAGTTTTACAAGGTCGACGTCGACAAACATCCCGTACGTTGCTCAATCGCGCAAGTGGCGGAGATCGCGTCAGCCCATGTTGTATCACAGGACATCGTCGCAAAACTTGGAATCAGCTCGTTGCCCATATTCGTTGCTCACAAGAACGGCACGAAGGTTGGCGATTATGTTGGCGATAACCCCCAGGGTCTAGTCGTGAGTCGACTCTCTGAACGGGGATGTCGTTGGCTGACCATCTGCCGTCGTCGTAGGCACAGCTCGAGACGGTCGCTGGGGCTCGATGAAAGAGCTCTATTGCCTTACGCCTGTATTTAAGCACATATACAGTGGATTTGCTCAGGATGTACAGAGGACACGTTGGAGCTGCCGACATGGCGACTTTTTATGAGGCGCCGGAGGGGAAATAATTCGTTCCTGCGTTGTTCTGCCGCGCGGCTTAGTCGTTATTGTCTATGAAACCGTCCTTTCTGCTCCCTCTTCATTGCTCTGTTGTCTCCATCTTGATACCGTACATAAGCCACGAGTTCTTCGCGAATTCCTACCCCTCTCATCTACAACCTGATTAACTCTCTCACCCCTTAACATAACTCTATAGATCTCCAATCATGTCCCAAGAAGTCGACTACGTAGCACTCGTGCGTATACCCTTCACATCGCATCAATAGAGGTACTGACACTTGACAGGTCGCAGCGCAGCGAGCCCAATTGGCCGCCAAGGAGAAGTACCTTGAGAGCCTCAAGAAGATGGCAGAGGTTGATAGGGAAATCTCCCGATTTACCAACCGCGCGCCACCCTCCCTCAGGCCAAGACGCCGGCCATTCCCCGTCTCGGGGGCAATGAAGGCCCCCAAGGCGCCCACTAAAGGTGCGCGTATGGCGCCGGGGAAGAATGCGGTCCGACAAGTGAGTACAGTCTCTATCTTTCTAGTCCGGTTATTGTGCACTCCTTGCCACGTGCAGGAGTCCTTTCCTGACACACTGTTGCTTCTGGAGGAATATATATACCATCGCCATCCAATATCACCCATCATCCCCCCATCCACAACGCAACCCGATACAGTCAGCGCTATCAATTCTCTCGAAGAATTTACTCACCTCGTGAGTCCCTCTCTCCCCTCTTGCACACTCGGCGCTCATTCTTCCCACAAGATCAACGGCTCTGACGTCGTCGTCATCGATTTCTGGGCGCCTTGATGTGGCCCCTGCAGAGTCATGTCTCCAATCTTCGAGTCGCTCGAGGCCCGAGGTCAGCATCCCGGCGTCAAGTTCCACAAGGTCGACGTCGACGAGCAGCCTGTACGTGTTTGACAGTGCAAGCTCGTTAGCTGACGTGTCTGATAGATCATTGCTGAAGAGGTCGGGATCCATGCCATGCCCACCTTCATCGCTTTCAAGAACGGCCAGAAGGTGGATGAGCTTGTCGGTGCCTACCCCGCGCGTCTGAACGTCAGTTCAGTTTCTGCTCTGCTTTGAGTAACCTCTGATTAGCTGACCGGGTTTCTCGGTAGGCGCTGCTCGACAAGGTCTCTGGGGTTTGATGGGGTGGTTCTATTGTGGTACCTCTACATGCAGTATAGGCGCTATACAAATCACGCCTCTCGCTCTTCATTCATCCGAGCACCACGCATTCCACCCTCCGTCCTCCTCTTCTTCTGCATCAGAGCCTCATGCATTCCATGGCTTCCGACCATCGTCCAGCGCAGCCAGCGAGCGCTCCAAAACCGCCTCTTGCTCTCTAAAGATACCCATAGTCGATTCGATCCCAAATAGTACCCCATCCGGCGACATATCCTCGTCGTGTTGATGTGTATGCGCAAAGTCTACAAACGCCAACCTCACTTTGGGCGTTCCGTCCTCTACCAACTTTCCGTGTATGATCAGCGCAGAAGTGCCCGGGTAGTCCAAGCCGGTGGTCTGGATAGCTTCGCTCAGATTAGGAAGGAGCTGCAGAGCGGTCCGTGTGCGATTGAGCATATCTTGTTCTTTCTCACGGCATTCTTCAAGGTCGAGGTCAGGCTGTTCATCCTCTTGTGCGACGTCATACTCGGAGGGAAGGGCCAGGTCTCGAATGCTGGGAAAGACGCAAGCGGCCGCATTAGCCAGAGTATCATCGTTCAACGTGCGGCTGAAACGGTCGTCGGAGATTACATGGCACTTTCGTGAAGGGAGCCAGGTCTTGTGCCAGGTCAATTTCTCTATCCCAAGGATGTGAAGGAGAAAGCTCACGGTGCCGCCTGCATACAAGACGCCTTTGCTTCCACTCGTGCATTGAGCAGTGGTTGCATCTTGTCTCGCCCGCTTCTCGGGAAAAGCCAATGGCCCGTAGAGTCTGGTACCGAGCTTGAAGTCTGCTACCGTTACGTCACGAAGACCGTGTGTCCGGTTGGAGATGATGATGGACTGCCAACGTTGTTAGCTGGAAATCACAAGGAATCGAAGGACAGACCTTGGTATACTTGTCGGCTCCATTGGGCTTGTACCCAACGATCTGTCCGTCCTTTCCATACGTTGGGACCATGTCCCCTAGTTTGTGACTCGATGACACGTTTGATCCACGACGACTTGAGGCGGGGGTCTCGGATCGAACATACGACGACCGTTCGACCCATCCCTGGTACGCTGGGATGAATGGCATCAGAGATTCCAACTCTGGGTGGTCTTTCATGTACTCTGGGTCGTTGATGTTTTCGTACCAGGCTATTTCGCCTTCGTTTGTGGGCTGTAGAGGTATTCGTCAGCCTTGTCGATCAGAATCCAGATACTTGCCTTGTAGAGCCACTCTCCATCGGGAGAAGTGTCCATCGTTCCCGGATGTCCCCCTCCTTGATATTCGAGCGGGACGACCATTGACACTGCGCTTGAAAGAGAGAGAGCGGGGCTAGGTGTCCTAGCCGTCGCCGATGCCACAGACAATCGGGAGTGTTGTTGCTGGGTGGTGTCGATCACTGCGGGCAAGCGCGGGCTCATTTTTTTGGGAGTGGATTTTGGAAGAATGGACTATGGTGAAGACAGGGTGGGGATTTGAGAGCCTTGTGCAGGAGGTGCCATGTAGGCCAATCGGGCCTTGCCATCGAAAAGAGGAAGACGATGGCCCCGAAAGAGAATACCCTTTGATCGCCCAGAGAATACGTCGGGGGACAAAGGACTGAGCCCCCATTCTGAGAATTATGATCCGTTCAGCCAGTGAGATTCGCATTCCCTGGTCTTCTATTCTGTTCAGCTGTGCTGGCCATATGTCACGCCCTCTGCGCCCACGCATGCTGTCACTCAACACGGTGGCCGCGGTGGCCGGCTGACGGCAGTCGGTGCGCGGCTTCGTAGCGGAAGCAAGTGCTCGTACGATGTCAGTCGCGTTCGCGTGGAATTTCTCGTTGTTGACATTTCGCGTACAAAAAGTCGGCGGACATCCACGACACCCAGATCGTCACCCAATATGGCAGACGGCGTCAGGCAGCGTAAGGTAAACACCCTCACCTCAGAAGACATCGCAAGCGGCAACTCCACCGCCCTCCTCAAGATCAATGCCGTCCCCACAGAGCACGGCCAGGAGATGGACAAGAAGGTCGACGAGCACCAGGAGTGAGTCTGCAAGACGAGCAGCACAAGGCGCCTGACAAAAAGCAGGTATGAGTTCGGAGGCCCCCTCGGCGTCCTCGCCATGATGGTCTTTTTCCCGCCCCTCATGTGTAGGTGACGCATCCACTTGTCCATCGAACCATACTGACATCTCATAGACTACCTCTGGATTTGTCTTTGGTTCTACGAGGGAAGCTTTGTCTATCCTACCTCCGTGGACGACATCCAGCCCTTCTTTGGCCGTATGTGGGACCACATCGTCGAGGTGAGTATGGTAGATTTGGGCGCAATGCATCACTGACAGTCCCTTCAGGGCGCCTACCCCACCAAGTTCGGCTTTGTTACCTACTGGGGTCTCACTGCTATCCAGCTTGCCTTTGCCGCTTTCATGCCCGGTATGTGGCAGGAAGGTCTTCCCGTCCCTTCCCTCAACTACGACACTCTTCCCTACAAGTGCAATGCGCTCGCGTCCTGGTACTCTACCCTGGCCCTCTCTTTCATCCTCCACAAGACTGGCATCTACCGACTGCCTTGGATCATTGAAAACTTTGGCCCCATCATGACCGTGTCCATCATCACTTCCTACTCTGTGTCGCTCATCATCGACTTGTCTGGCCGATTCTTCCACTACGGTGGAAAGCCCCTCCGATTGAGCGGTAATGTCATCTACGACCACTTTATGGGTATCACTCTCAACCCCCGAATTGGCGTTATCGACTTGAAAATGTTTGCCGAGGTCCGCGTGCCCTGGGTCTTGCTCTTCTTGTTTGCCTTGTCTGCCACCGTCAAGCAGTACGAAGAGTACGGTCGGGTGTCCTACAACATGATCCACTTTTTGATCGCTACCGGACTGTACATCAACGCCTGTGCCAAGGGTGAACAGATGATCCCCCAGACTTGGGACATGTTTCACGAAAAGTTTGGATGGATGCTCATCTTCTGGAACATGTCTGGCGTGTAAGTCCTTGTTGCTCCTCTCGACTGCTGCTGACGCACCCCGTAGTCCCTTCATGTACGTCTATCCCGCCATCTACATGTCCCGAACCCCTCTCGCCACCTACGAGTTCCCCATCTGGGCCTCTGTCGCTCTCTTCACCACCCTCATCACCTGCTACTGGATCTTTGACTCTGCCATGTCGCAAAAGTCTGTCTTCAAGATGCAGCAGCAGGGCCAGTATGTCCGCCGAAAAGCCTTCCCTACCGTCCCCTGGGCCGAGGTCGAGAACCCCACCTACATCCAGACCAAGCACGGCAACAAGCTCCTCACCTCTGGCTGGTGGGGTTTCCTCCGGAAGCCCAACTACACTGCCGACTGGATCCAAGCTTGTACTTGGGGTCTTTGTGCCGGTTTGCACACTCCTATCACCATGTGGTACCCGTTCTTCTTCTTGACAGTGTTGGTGCACAGGTGTGAGAGAGATTTCCAAAAGTGCGAGAGAAAGTATGGGGATGATTGGGAGGAGTATTGCAGGACTGTGCCGTACAAATTTATTCCTGGGATCTACTAGAAATTATATCTAGCATGTCATGGACAATCTACAGAGTTATTTGGTTCTTTTTGAATACGGTTTCGCAACAGGATGGTGCATTGTCAACTATAAGTGCTAGTAACGTTTTGATCGTACAACGGTCCCTCGGTCTAAAACAACACGGTCGTCCAGATAATCCCAAATGGAATCGCCCAACTATGTAGATCACATCCCCTCATCAACCTCCATCTCTCCAATCTCATCATCTCCAGCCCCGAGCCCCATCTCGTCCCACTTCGCCCTGACCTCCCTCGCTTCCAACCTCTCCCACTGATCCACCTCCAACATCCCCTTAATCACATCCCTCACCTCCTCCGACACGCGCTCAGACTGGTCAAGGTAGAGCATCGCGGGGGAGCCATCAGAGTAGGCTTCCGTAAGCGTCTGACGACGAGTAGGCGTCTGAGGCTGAGGGGCTGGGGGCTGAAGAGGGAGGAATCCTTCGGTCTGGGGTCGCGTACATGGCGAGGGTGTGGGTGCAGGAGACGGGGGAAGGGTATTGACCGTCGGCGGTGCCAGAGCATGCGACGGAGAAGGTACATGCTGGGTAACAACCTTCAAGGTCTGCCTTTGCCTCGTCCCTTCCTCCATCTCACGGTCTGCATCCTCGTCCCTTCTCAAAGAAGTGCTACGCCTCAAACTGCTCTGCCTGGATACACCACCAGAAGCTTGCATCTGCTCCCAAAACTCGGCTGGGGTACTGTCTTCTGCCAGGAGCGCAGTGACGGGGTCGAGCCCCGCCCCGCCCTTGACCCATTTAGACCAGAGCTTGATGGCTGCCGGGCTGGCAGAGGAAGTAGCATCCTCGTTGGCCCGAATAGACTCGGCACTCGTCATCCTGTTCAGCCTGGGCCGACCAGAGAATGTAGCTGAGGGTTCTTTACCGAGCGTCGAGTATGTCGATGGGACACGCAATGACCCGGCTCGCCTGATACCCGCCACAGAATTTGTAGCAAAGTCGCTCGAGCCAGAGTATACAGGTTCCCTCCAAGCGGATGGGAAAGGCGTGCCATCGACTTCTACCCCTTGGCCGACCCGGCTGAGACGCTCGCTCTCCTCATAGGGCCACAAACCACCAGACTTGACGCGATGCGTCAGCTCCATGATCCGGAGGCCTCTGTACGGCTCACGACCAGTGATGCACTGGTAAAGAGTCGCGCCGAGCGCCCAGATGTCGACGGGGAAGGAGAATGTGGCGCTCTTGTCCACAAGCTCGGGTGAAGAGAAGGGCAGTGTGCCGAGACCAACACCATCTGTGGGTGGGTGAGCAGGGTGGATGAGGAGAGAAGACCCGAAATCCGATATACGGATATGCAAGTCTGCCGTCAACTGCACGACTCGTTAGCTTTGCGGCATTGTGAGAGAGGCAGAACGTACAAGTATGTTGCCGGGCTTTATGTCACCATGAACAACACCATTTGCATGCACCCATTCCAGCCCCTCTGTGGCTTCCCTCGCCCACCTCGCAAACAACTTTTTTCCCACCAATTGCGGGCTCGTCCTCAACAACCTATCCAGAGTCCCCAAAGGCGCATGTTCAAGTACCAGTACCAACCTCGAGATGGAAGGTAGCGGAGGTTTTGGATACTGTTCTTGGCGTATCGCTTCAGCGAGCGAGGGGTATGAAGGGAAGGTAGGGAGGTTGGTAATCTCCTTCGAAGGGATAGGTTTCGATACACCAGCAGAGACCTTGTTGGCGGCTGATTGAATCTGGGCATTGGGAGGGGTTTGGAAAGGCAGCATCGTAGAGCTTCTCTGCCGAGTCAGAGTACCCGAGACGGACAGATTAGATCCCGCCTTGTCTTCCATGACCGCATCTGATGTCGATCTAGTATGTGATGAACAGTGGGGGTTATCAAAGTCTTCCTTGACAGCAATGAGTTTTGCGATATAGACGCTTCCATTCCGGACTGGCTTTCTTTGCGCCTGAGCGCCTGCAAACGTATCTCGCAAGGGAGATACAGCTCTTGCACGCCCCGTCGACCGGGGAAAGGTAGACCGTTCATGGGCTGGTGACGTAGCCCTCAGTCTGTTGAGAAAGAAGGCCTCACGAAGACCCATCGTCTGCGCATCCCTGTCAGCCGCCGGGCGCTTTGCAGCACACAGCTTCCAGCTCCCTCCCACCAGCCCATCCCCATCCTCATTCACCTCCAGCTCCGTACTCGACCCTTCTTCCTTCTTATCCAAGCTAATGATATTGTCGGGAAGCCTCGACGGCCGTCCTAGTAGATCCTTACCTCGCCCTGGGATCTTCTTCTTTCTCACGCGCTTGTACGCTCCCAGATAGACGTCGGAATACCGGCCCTGCCCGAGCAGGTATGTCTTGTTCGGCATGAGGCGGAGTTCGATATCATCCAAAGACGGCGGTAAGGGCGGTATCCAATCGTCCGTCTGTCCCACGCCTGAAGGCGGCAGTTGTGGTGACTGATGGAGAGGCGAGAGAGGATCGTCCGCCGCCGTCACATACGACCCCGAGGCCGATGGCGTCGACGAATGCGACGACGTATACGAGTCCCACGATCTCTGCTTTTCTCCTCCTCCGAAACTCAAGGGCGCATGTGCGATCGACCCCGGGCCTGCGCCGTTCGACCCCGTTCGAGATAGAGGTAATGGTGCCGGCAATGTCTTACCCGCGCGGCGTAAACTCGCCGAGCGCGATAGGCCAGACACTGGGGAACCCATGTGGGAGTTGGCAGAGGAGGAAGGGATGGAGGAGGATAGACGGGGGGCAGGTGGGGGCGGGGCGGGGAGGTCGGTCGCGACGTCAAAGAAGGAAGATGTGCGAGGTGATCCTTCGCGCGCCAGCCCTTGGCTGTGGGTGCTGGGTGGGATAGCAGAGGGTCTCGAGACGCCAAACTCATCGACTGTCGGGCTGGTGCTGGCCAGCGCACTGGCTTTGGAGGGGGACGAGGCGGTAGGACCCCGCGAGTCGAGTGAAGTGAATTCCCGCCGGCGCATGGGCGAGGGCATAGTATTCGCGTGGTATCCACTGATGCGACCTGGCGAAGTCATCGTCGGCATTGTTCTGGACCCCCCATCTTCATCAGAGGAGGATCCGCCGGCGGCATTGCCAGAAGGTGGTTCGCTCCGAAGGGGCCGGGGGGGAGCGATATCGGGCTGCCAGGAGGTGGTGAAAAGGTCGTTGCGGGATACGCTGCCTGAGGAGGGGCGGTTTTTGACAGGCGGCTCTGGCTGTTGCTTGGGGGGCGAGGCGAAGAGGGAGGAGGACGGTGGTGGTGCCGGGATGTCGCGGAAGAGCGACATGGCAGCGGGTGGTGGAGAAAGAGAAGGGGAAAAGAAAGAAAGAGGTAAAATAATTGGCGTTTACTACGCGCTGCGCTTTCAATGAGGGCGATGTATAAATTCGTGGGTGATGCAGCGGGAGGGGGCAGTAGCTGGGGGCTGGGGAGTGGGTACTGGGTACGGCCAGGCTACTCCTCCTGGCTACTCACTAGCTGGGGATCACGGTGACACCGAGATACATGACGAAACTCTATTTGCTGCAAGGTTTCCATCTCGCTCTGGACCATCGCACCATTCGCTCATGGCCTGCTAGCGCTTGGCAGCGGCTGTGCGGTCCACTGCGTAGGGTGCTGTATGCATGCTGCAAGAGATGCATCACCCCGCCAACGTCGCCCCGTCGACTCGCCCGCGTATACAACCAACGCGTTCGAACATTGCGCGGAACATTACAAGGTACGTACATCAACGCGTGCAAAGGAACGGGACACTATATACACATGCTGTAAGCCACATCGCCCCCGTGGGTCTCTATCACGCCCGCCAGACCTCCATGCCCACCTCGTCCGCTGCCCCTTCTTTCACTACCGGCGACCCCGGCGGGCTGAGTGTCAACCGCGCTTCTCGCTCAAGATCTGATGTCAGCCGTCTGGAGGCGACTGATCTTTGTGTCTGCGAGTGAGACGAGTTGGTGCCCCAATCTCGCGACTGCTGCCTCGGGCGCGCAGAAGAAGAAGAAGATGTCGCAGACGACGAGGAATCTGCTGGGATGGGCGGGTCGGTCGTTGCAGAAGGCGGTGGTATGGGCGAGGTAAAGGCGAGTTTGGAAGCCCGAGCCGAATCTGGTGAAGGCGCTTTTGAGCGATTGGCTCGCTCTGGCGGTACACTCAGCCTCCCTTCCTCGGCTGCTTCAGGATACTCCCACCACGTCGACGAGCCAGCTTCTCCTACTTTGGGCGCCTCCGATCCTGCTTTCCCGGTGATCTTGCTCCATATGCTACCCCCGTTCAAGCTCTCTGGGAGATACGATTGGGAAGCTGTGGGACTGCCCATGGGGCTCGGGGTGGTACTACCGTAGCCATCATGACCTCCCGCACTGAGGAGAGGCGAACTTGGCGGCAGTGCCCTGTCCACCGCGCCCGGCTTGGGCCCTTCACCACTTTCCAAATCTGCCTCCCAATCCGGTACCCGACTATACCCCTCCCCATCCCCTCCCCTCCTCCTCCTCCCCCGCCCACTCTCCCTCACCTCATCTCCTCGCCCCTCGTCCGCCTGCGGGCTCGCTTTGATAACCTGGTCGACGAGACAGAATTGGACAATGTTCATGATGAGCGGAAAGACGGCCATGACAAAGATGACTTGGGCCGAGGGGGAGAGGTAGTCGAGGAGCCAGTGGCCGAGACGGAGGAGGAAGTCGGAGATGCGGGGAAGGGTCAAGGGGAGGAGGACGAGCAGTTTCATGGTGATGATGGACATCAGGTAGGTGAGGAGCTGCTTCCACCAGCTGCAAATCTGGTAAGCTTGTTGGGATTGCGGATCGGAGACGATGTCCTTACAATTGGGCTTGCGGTGGGTTGCCGTACTTTCCACTGGTGAATCCGTCATACCCCAGGTATGAGGTAAAGTACCAAGTGAACAGCTTGAGACTCAGAAAGATGATACCGACGCCTGGTGAGAGGTCAGCTTTGTACGATGCCGCCGTTCCGCCGAGACTTGCCGACAGTGGTGTCAATCAGGACATTGAGGAAATACAATGAACACGGGTTGTTGTGGGCTACAGAAGCAACAAGCCATGATATCTGTGTTGCTGTTAGTAGAGTCAGAGACGATATATGGGGCGTACTAGGACATTCAAACCATGCACGACGGCCTGCCCGGCGAGCTGTTTTGATACATCCAATAGCCAGATGCGCCACGACCGCTTCCGCTTTTCAAGCTGCTTCTTGATGACCAGCGAGCTGATGACCATGACCCCCACTATGCATAGTCAGTACCAGTCATGAATATGCGATGGCACTCACTGAGGGCCTGGACGACCAGGCCTGTTGTGCCAAGAAGGCTGCAGGTCTCTGGGTCTGCGGGGACGGGATCTGTGGGCTGTGGCTGTATGATGGTGGAGTTGTCTGGCAGCATTGTGGCAGCAGGAGATGCCCTCGCCATACACTTTGTACATCTTTTGTCATTCCATCTGCACGAACGAAGGGTCAACGTTCTGAGGCGGAGGTCGCCGCGCCGGCCTTCCGTCCCGATAAGATGTCTGATTGGAAAAGGCAAGTTGGAAAATACATATATACCCCGTCCGGGATGCATTCCCTCTTCCCTCCCCATCTCTATCTCACCATGCTCAGGTCTGCCACCACCGCTGCCCGCACCACCGCCAGAGCCAACGCCCTCCGAGCCTCTATCACCAGGCCTCTCCTGGCTAGGGGTTTTGCCAGCTCTGTCGCTATCGCAGAGGTACGCACCGGTGTACCGTCCTTGACTACCACTCACAATCTATCAGGAACCCAAGAAGACGCCTCTGTACGACTTTCACGTCGCGCAGGGCGCCAAGATGGTGCCCTTTGCTGGCTATTCCATGCCTCTGAGCTACGGCGATGTCGGCCAGAGTACGTCCCTGATAGCGTATAGGTATAAGGAGCTGAGATAAGATAGTCGTCGCGCACAAGCACGTCCGCGCCTCTGCCGGTCTCTTTGACGTCTCCCACATGCTCCAGCACACCTTCACCGGCCCCTCTTCCCAAGAATTCCTCCTCACCCTCGTCCCTTCCTCTCTCCAGTCCCTCCAGCCCTTCTCCTCCACCTTGTCTGTCATCTTGAACGAGCAAGGAGGGATCATTGACGATACCATCGTCACGAAACACGCCGAGGACAAGTGGTATGTAGTTACCAACGCCGGCAGGGCCGCCGAGGACCGCGCGTGGATTGGGCAAAAGTTGGAAGCTTGGAACAAGGCGCATGCTGGTAAGGAAGTGGAGTGGAAGACGCTTGATGGGTGGGGACTTGTAGCCCTCCAGGGTCCTCAGGCAAAGGACGTGCTGCAACGGTTGACAGAGACGGATTTGAATGGAATTAAGTTTGGGCAGAGCGCGTTCTTGGGGTTGAAGGCGAAGGACGGGGAGGTCGTCGAGTGCCACGTTGCTAGAGGAGGATACACTGGCGAGGATGGTTTCGAGGTGCGTTCGATTCGCTGCTTCCGGATGACAGCTCATTGAACGATGACAGGTGTCCATCCCTCCAAGCAAGGTCCAATCCATCACTGACGCGATCACCGCCGCCCCCGAAGTCATGCTTATCGGCCTCGGGGCCCGAGACTCTTTACGACTCGAGGCTGGTATGTGCTTGTACGGACACGACCTCGACGAAAGCGTCAGCCCTGTCGAAGCTGCTCTGAGCTGGGTCATCGGTACGTATATGCACTCAATTCGAACGTGCTATGCTGACGTGGGGTGTGCAGGTAAAGACAGGCGCGCTGCGGATGCTGAACCGGCTTTCCCTGGCAAGTCCAGGATCCTCGAAGAGCTCGCCAAGGGACCTTCCAGGCGCCGAGTCGGATTTGAGATTATCGGCTCCCCCGCCCGAGAAGGTAGCAAGGTCTTTGACAAGTCTGGCAAAGAACTCCTCGGTATGTCTCCCCACTTTCCCCGACGCCACAAGCTCACAGGTATACAGGTGTCATCACCTCCGGTATCCCCTCGCCCACTTTGGGATCCTACATCGCCATGGGCTATATTGCCAATGGCAGCCACAAGAAGGGTACCGAGGTCAAGGTGGAGGTGAGACACAAGATGAGGGACGCTATCGTCAGGCCTATGCCTTTTGTGCCGACAAAGTATTTCAAGTAGGGTTGAAGAGTTTGGCTAAGTTGTATGAAAGAAAGGAAAATACAATTGGGTCGAGTTTTGTATATACCATCAAGGGTACTTTTTCTTCATGTTATGCATAGTTTCAACACTGTACTACATAGTTTGAGCAGACACCCGGCTTCACCGGCTGCCCAATTCATGGGCTTGGTATATCTCTTGAAAGGAAGTGCTTCTGTTAAAGTGGCTGATCATGGAAGATGACCACGAGTGAGCCGTATGAACGCCCGCCAGCCCTCAGCTGTCGGCCAGGTCTGCGTTTGAGGGTAGATATTACATCAAGTCTTTCAACAAAAGTAATCGAGAGATAAAAAAAGAGATGAGTGAACTGGGGTAAAGAGTACTTGAATCTGTATTCAGTGACTCTCCAGCCTCTTTGGAAAGGTAAAAGATCCATTGAGCAAAACAAGGAAAAGAAAGGTCATCGTATATATAGACAGCTCACAGATACTCCAACATCAACCGCTCCTTTACACCTCCCAATTGAGATCGAGGCTCCCGACCCTGCCGCTTCTAGCTTCTCCAAGAACGCCAACCGAACAAGACCTCGAGAACACTACGAGAAAGCTTAGCAGCATCCGCCCGAGGAGCTGTCTCCGGTCTTGTTGACATCAACTTTGCCGCGGTCGGCACCGAGCGAGACAGGGGTGGTTTCTTGGGGCTGAGAGTCGATCAATCGTGTCTTGATATCTCTGCAAGCCGTATGTCAGCTTCAATCTATACAGACTGTACAAGGACGTACCTGGCAAGAGTGAAGAAGGCCTCCTCGACACCCTCGTTCGCCTTGGCACTAGTCTCCAAGAACCTCAGACCAAACTCGTCGGCAAGAGCGCGTCCCTGTTCGAGCGTGACGGCTCGCTTCTCCTCCCAGTCGCACTTGTTGCCGATGAGGATCTTGTTGGCACCAGGGGACGCGTGTTGTTCAATGTTGGCGAGCCAAGTTCGGATGTCTCCGTCATCGGGTAAGTATCCGGGATGCAAGATGGGGTAGAATAAGACTGACTGCTGAAAGACTTTTCGTCGGTGACATCGTAGATCAAGAGGATACCCATGGCTCCTCGGTAATAGGCAGTGGTGATGGTTCGGAATCGCTCCTGGCCCGCAGTGTCCCACTACATCAAAGGTCAGCGAGCACGAGGACTGGGCAGATGGTACGTACAATCTGCAGCTTGATGCGCTTGCCATCGAGCTCAATCGTTCGGATCTTAAAGTCGATACCTGTACCTTGTCAGTATCGACGTCTCCCGATAGCCCCGGATAGGGTGTGTATGCGACTCACCGATGGTAGTGATGAACGACGGGGTCCAAGAGTCTTCACAGAAACGCAGGAGAAGACACGACTTGCCGACACCTAGAAACGAGGGGTATCAGTATCGCCACGATATAGGGTTCCGCCCCCCATACACGCTCCGCTCTCGGGACCCTCTAGTTTTCCGGCCCGCGCGACAATCCCTAGTACACCGCTCTCGCCTGAAAGTGGATCCACGCTCACCAGAGTCGCCAATGAGGAGGAGCTTGATCAAGCTATGGAAAGAGGCAAGTCAGTATGGGTCTGGGGGGACTGTGTTACGGCAGCGGCACCGCCCGCGGTTGTCCCCGGGAGTGCAGGGGCTGTAAACGTACAAGTCGTAGTGCTGTCCCGCTGGGCCTGACATTGTGATATAGGGGGATGATAGAGTTCAAGAAATGATAGAGGATATGGGGCGCGCCACCAGCTCCCTGTGACGCTCAGTGAGACGCGGCGATATTTCCAAAAGTGGCATTTCTTCATCTTCTCTATCATCTACACCTCCATCGCCCCCATGGCATCCTCCTCCTCCCACAGGGCCCCCAGTGCCCGCCCGCCCCCCGCCTCGGCCCTCTCCTCGCTGCTGGCACAGGCAAACTCGCTCAACGAGGCCGACCACGACTCGGAGCTCCCTCAAATTCGCTTCGGCATCGATGATATTGAGCGTATGAGCGAGGCGGTGGCTGGGCGGGGCAAGCGAGCCAAGGGTGACAGGGGAGAGGCGTAAGTGGCTGAATGTGAAAGTGGGGCGTTACTAACATACAACCAGCTTCAACCTCCTCTCGACCCTCGGCGTAAACACTTCCCAATTGACCCATTCCATCGCCCAGCTTCCTTCTGGAATTACAACTACCGCTGGCCGACCTCGTCGACGTAGGGCTCAAGCGCAGAAGGTGGAGGCTATCCCGGAGGCGGCGTATGCTTCTAATGACGGAGATATTGGGACTTGGGGCCGAAACTGGCACGAGATGGTCATCCTGAGCGGTATTGAGTTGCAGAGGCAAAGGGCAAGTCATCTGGGTCAACAATGTTTGCAAACTAACACTCGCGCAGACTGTCAACTCTTTCCAAAAGCAATTCCAACAACGTATCCACCAAAATTGGCAGCTCGAAAAGACTCGCGTTCTCCAGGACGAGTTGGGCGTCACCGACGACGAACTCGCAAACATTGTGGATGCCGCCCGTACAGCCTCTTCCACCCTTGGAGGCTCCACCCTCGGACGAAGCACCCTCGGAGCTTCTACCAGACGATTCCCCATGAGTCAGTCTACGCTCGGCAAGTCAACTTTGGGAGGCGGCGCCGAGTCTAGAGAAGGCGGTTTGGTGATGCACACAAAGATGGTCAGATATGAACGAGTCGTGGCGGAGCTTAATCAGAAGAGGTTGAGGAAGGAGCCGTTTGAACTGTGTCAGGCCTTGTCCGAGAGTACCAAGAGCGACTCGGTGCGTATGGTCACAACGTGCGAGTGATTGTCGCTGATCAGTTCACAGAAGCACCCTTTGCTGTCTCAATCTTTCAATCTTCTTGCCCATCTGGTCTATGAACCATCCCTCCGTGACTCCGAGTACCACAGCGTACCCTCATCCGGTGTTGCTCCTCCAGTAGCAGAGCCTATACAGGAAGGACAATACGCCGCTGCCTACTTGGGCGACCAACAAACCCATCAAGCCTACCTTCTGCGAGGCCGACTCATTGCTGGCGGTCAAAAGTATCTGGAAAGAGAGTACGTAGCTCTTTCTCGTTCAAATCACGCTGACACTTGATAGCTTTGAGAGACACGTCGACGAGACCATTGCACGCAACCCCAAAGAGGCTGCTCTCGGTGGTATTCCCGGTATCCGCAACAAGATCCGCGCATTTGTAGACGTCACCCTTCGCACCAAAGAATCGCGAGAGACTTACAAACCCGAGACTGTCAACGGCACCTTCCTCTGGGCGCAAGCCTACTACCTCGTCCGATGTGGCTACGTCGACGAGGCCCTCAACCTCATCGCCGAGAACCAATCCCACATCGCCAGGGAAGACTGGTCTTTCCCCGGCGCTTTCAAAATGTCGATGCAGAGCCCCGAACGGAGGATGAACAGGACCCAGAGGGACCAGCTCTCGAACGACTACAACGCCCATATCCGAAACAATCCCGCGACCGACCAGTTCAAGACGGCTCTGTACAAGCTTGTCGGGAGGTACGAGGTTCGCAAGCAGAGCAAGGTGACGCCAACGACTGAGGATTGGATGTGGTTCCAACTTTGCGTCATTCGTGAAAACAAGGACGATGAGCCCGAGGGTGGGCCTTACACATTGGCGGATCTTGGCAAGTCACTCGACAAGTTTGGGAGCGATGTCTATGATGGCAAGGGGACGAGACCCCTTGTTTGGTTCAACCTCATGCTTTACACTGCACAGTTTGAAAGGGCTGTGGCATACTTGTATTCCAAGCCTCAGATGCGAACGGACGCTGTCCACTTTGCCATCGCCTTGTCCTATTACGGGCTCCTGAGAGTGCCGCCCAAGGGCGACGAGGCCGATCTTTGTAAGTTATCTCTGATGAACCCCAGCCGAGCTAATGTCATGATAGTGGGCTACAACAATACGGGCGATGTTGCTTATCTCAACTTCCCTCGACTTGTAAAGCAATACATTTCACCATTCTTCAAGCTCGAGCCGCAAACTGCATTGCAATACGCCTACCTCGTCATGCTCAACTCTGACGCGCCCCCTCCTGCCGGGCCCAAGCAGCGTCAGCTCTGTCTTGAGCTTGTCAGAGACATTGTCCTTGCTTCTCGCTCCTGGTCCAAGCTTCTTGGAAGCGTGCGTGCCGATGGATCAAAGGAGACCGGTGTGGTTGAGAAGGACCTCAAGCTTCTCAAACTCGAAAACGAGCATGATTATCTCAGACAGGTTGTGCTGTCTGCAGCCGACCAATCCTCGCTCGACGCGTCTCTCATCGACTCTATTGAGCTCTATCACCTTGCCGCTGCCTATGACAAGGTTGTCGAGACCGTCAACCGAGCTCTTGGTCACTCTCTTTCATCTTCGTCTACCTATTCTCTCATCCCCGGCTCCGACCCCACGTCAGCACCATCCGCTGTCGGTCTGACTGGTGCATTCGGTGGTGCCACAGATCTGTATAGCTTGGCGCAACGGGTACATGCCGTATATGACAGGGACTATGGGAAAAAGTCGAGAGTATCCAGCATCCATTGGGAGACTCTGGAAACGCTGTTGAGGTTGAAGTTGGCTCTGGCGCAATTCGCTGCCGACCGTCCTGACTTGGCTCTCGAGGTGAGTCGGCTTCCCGTTCTTGCAAAACAAACTGACAAATATCTGTAGACCTTCAAATCCACCAACCTTCTCCCTCTCGAGACTGATCCCTCTCAGATCACATCCTACGCCCAGAAATTCCGAGACATGCTCGACCAACCCGTCATCTCCAACCTCGACGACGTCATTGTCACCACCATGAAGTGTCTGCATCTCCTCAGCCAGCAGCTGAAGCAGTCTCCCTATGGCGATCAAGGGAGGATGGTGCAGCTGCAAGTCTACAAGCATCAAGCACAGTGCTTGATTCAGTTTGCCGGGACGTTGAGGTTGAGGCTGGGACCGGATGTCTACAGGCAGTTGAGCTCGATGAGCGCGTTCTTCTAGTACGAGATCCTGAATGCATAATTACACAGTATCTCTACGTCCGGAGAGTGTTTGAAAAGCGTATCGTTCAATGTATTACACATTATGCATTTCCCGGACACTCTAAACTGTCCTTCTTTTCACTGATATATAAACTTCTCACAAAAAACATCCCTCTATATATGGAATCGCCGCGATCACTGGAAGTGGAAGTTGGTTCCCTTGACTTCGGGGTGAGAAGCAGGCATGTTGCTAGCAATAATCTCAATCTCCTCCTTCTGCGCAAGACCGAGAGGACCGATGTGACCGGCGTTTCGCTCGACATCGCGCAATCTCAGGTGGGTTTCCTGTACAGTATCATGTATCAGCTTGAATTCTTGGTTCTTGATCTTGTTTGAGAGAGGAGTTTTGATAGCTGGCAAGAGCCTGCGCTGCTGCAAGTCAAGCTGCGCAATATATCTCTCCTTGACTCGCAAAACTTGATCATTTGAACTTGAAACTTGACTGACCTCGGGAAGACCCATACTTCTCAAGAAGCCAACGACCTCATCGAACTCGATTTCCTTCCTAGCCCTGTCCCATCCAAGCTCTTCACCCATAATGTCCAATACCCTAGGCAAACTCTCGACAGTAGCCTGGACATCGAGGAATCCCAATCGGGTTCGTCGGGCAACAAAGTCGGCGGCGGTGACGGCGTACTCGCATCGGCATGCGTAACGAGCTTCGGCCTCAATGTAGGGGTAAGAGTTGTGGAATCGGACACCGTGGATGGGCCAGTTCTTGCCTGCATCGTTGCGTCAGCGCACATTCGAGTACATCGAATAGACTTACCAGTAGGCAAAGCCATGGTGGCAACGGCAAAGGCCCTGTCACCGTAAGACTCGGAAAGGTGCTGGGCAACATCGGTCTCGAGACCAAAGTCCTGGATGAGCTTGATGTACATGGTCTTGTTCCAAGAGTGACCACCGATCAGCTTGACGCGGTGCGTCTGGCAAGGACCGTTGGGCTTGAGCTTGAACTCCTTGATGGCAGCGTCAATGGTCTGCTCGGCCATCTCTCGGCTATTGAATGGTCAGCGCCAGTCAACTTCGGATGATTAAACCTACTAGGTAGTCCACTTGCCACCAGCGATGGTCAAAAGACCACCCTTGGAAGTGTTGATCATGTGGTTTCGGACCAGAGACTCGGTGTTGGAAGATGCGGGGTCCTTGACCAAAGGCCTGATACCGGACCAAGCGGACAAGACATCGCCTCGTCGGACCTGAATCTCGGGAGCAAGATAGTGTCGGACCTCGTCGAGGATCCACTGGATCTGTTTCTCCTCAGGGACGGGGTTCTGAGAGACGTCGGTGGGGGAGTCGGTGGTACCGGCAATGATCTGGCCTTGCCAGGGAAGGAAGAAGATGACTCGGCCGTCAGAAGTGGCGGGGTCAAGGAGACCAAGCCTCTGGGAACCATAGTAGGAAGGAAGAGTGATGTGGACACCGGCACTGGGAGCAACAATCTCCTGGGCAGTGGGCTCATCGAGCCTCCTGACACCGTCACTGAAGGGACCAGTAGCATTGATGACACCCTAGTCGATGTTAGCATTGCACGGTATCATATGATTTGAGATAGAAACTCACCCTACATCTGACCTTCATGAGTTCACCAGTAAGACCGTCCTTGACAGTGGCAGCGTAAATCCTCTCCTGACCACCTCTGGAAGGGTCGGGCCTCTTGTGAAGCTCAGTGACTTCGGTATAGTTGGAGACGATGGCACCCTGTTGAACGGCGGTCATGATGATGGAGATGTTCATCCTAGAGTCGTTGTGTTGACCGTCATAGTAGACGACACTACCTACGAGGCCCTCCTTCTTCAGGGTAGGGAAAGCCTCAAGAGACTTGCCCTTGCCCATCCAATAGGCAGACTCCATGTTCTCCTTACCAGCGAGGAAGTCGTAGACCTTACAACCGGCATAGTAGTAGGGAAGTTGCCACCAGGTGTAAATGGGGAGAAGGATGCTGCGGGTACTGTAAGCTTGGTCCAGCCTGGGTGCTCTGGTAGACGCACGGAAGCATATGACTGAGATGAGGAGCGGTGTCGAGGAAGATCCTTCGCTCACGAAGAGCCTCCTTGACCATCTTCCACTGGTCTGAAACCCCTGTCAGTTACGATTTAGAACAATAAGATAAAACTTACCATAATCGAGCTCCATGATGGCTTTTTGAAGGTATCGGACACCACCGTGCACGAGTTTTGTACTCTTGGAAGAGGTACCGGAGGCAAAGTCTCCTCGCTCGACACAAGCGACCTTTAAACCTCGACTGGCAGCGTCAAGGACGGCACCAGCACCGGTGGCACCACCACCGATGATCAAGAGGTCAAAGACATCGTCGTCGTTCTTCTCCTCAACGTCGGTGGTAGGGACCTCGATCGCGGGATTCGGCCCGCCTTCTTGGGTCCTCTTGATGTGGAGACCAGAAGTCCGGAGGTGATCGACCATTTGGGATCGAGAGGGAGGGTTCCATAAAGGATCGGGGACGTCCGTCTTGGATCCTGGTTGCCAGTCGAGCTGGACTCGATTTTGCTGACGGGCATACAAGTAGGAGCCGACGGCAACGGTTGTGGAGGTCGTGAGGACGAGGGCACGACGGCCGGTCATGAAAGATCGAGCACGGAACATGGTATCTGAATGGGATTAGAAAGAGAAAGGGTGGGACGTGCGAGCTTTATGAAGAGGAAAAAGTTGACAAAAGACGCGGTCTGCGCTGGATCGAGGATCGGCTCAAAGAAGCAAGTTGCCGACAAAGGAGCCGAAAGTGGAAGGGACCCTGGAGGAAAGGGGGCTTTGGTGTGCTGCTCGAAGCGGAGCAGGGGAGACGGGCTGGGTGTTTTGGTGGGAAAGAGGGAGAAGAAAGAAAGAGAAAAGAAAAGAGCTGGATGCCGGCGACGTGGTGGGAGTATGACGTACGGGAGCAATATTCGGCCCGCATTCCCAACCGCAGCAAAATTCCCAACTTTCTGCCTTGCGCTATCCATTGCGTATTGTGCCGCACTAGTTTACCAGTGGGATCCGGGGCCAGTGGGGGCATGATGCATCTCTAGCGATAGACTGACTGACGTAGCATGACTCCAGCCCTGTCATCTCTTTTTCTTCTGCCTCCGCCTCTCTTCCCCTCCTCGCACCTTCTCCGACAACATCTTCTGCGTCTACCCACGTTCGTTCTCTATTTCACACTGTGTGTATACATATGTCTAACAGTTGCACTGCACTACTCTCTTTTGCCAATAATCCCTGCCGCCCATGGCGCACCCATGCAACGCGAGTCAGCCAACGGCGCTACGAGCACTTGCCGCCGGTGCACCTGCCGAAGCTGCCGAATCTGATCGTGCCTGGCAGTCAATAAGAAAAAGTTGAGCAGGATTAACAGCTGGTACGGCTTTTTTGCCCGATCGTGCAACATGTTCGGCGGTCATCGCCGCGTCTTTGTTAGGCTCGGCTTACCTTGCTATGGGCCTGTAGGCGAGGACAAAGCTGCAAGCCATGAAAGCGGCCTGTCATCAGATTGTCAAGGGAGGTGGTAACGATAATCTAGATTTTCGATTTGATGGCGGCGAGTGACTTGAGGGGCAACTAAAGTACTGCTGCTGGATGTAGAAAGGCAAGTGCTGTGATCTGCCCGGTCTGGTCGTGGCTGATAGGAGACCGACAACAAGGATGAATGGACATGCTAAGGGCAGCTCTTTGTGCTGTGTCTCCCTGAATTGCGCTTACTTGAATACAGGTGGCCAAACAGTTAGCAGGGTTTGATAGGACCGTCCGTCAGTCCAGGTTTCGCGCGCATTCGCCCTATTGCTCGACTTGTGGCTCGTAAGATTATAGCAGCCTCAGCCAAAGTTGATCGTATTTGTGAGCTAAGAAAGGGGATAGGATCGTTGTATCAATGCATCATGAATGTAAAGTGGAATGGGTCGAAAGCGTTACACCTCTGTCCATGTCCTGCCACGAAAGTCAATCTCGACTCCAAATTGATTTGATAATGAAGCACTCACCTATATGTCGACCTCGACACTGCCCTTCCCTCCGCCAAAGGCTCTTCCGGTAACTTCAACTCCGCTTCCTTCTGCCCGTCTTCTCTGACTCAAAGCCCTCCCTTCTTCTTCCGTCACATTGAGCACCTGCACCAGCTCCTTTACTTTAAGTATTCTTCCCGCCACGACCGGGCTGAAAGGGTGAACCACACTTTGACGTAGTCTTTTGAGACCGAGGGCGGTAAGAGTACGCTTGTAGCGTTCCGGGAGGGCAATGGGGGAGCGGACGAGTGTGATGAGGTGGTGGGTGGCTTGGGATGATGCCTCGGGGGCGGCGGATGTGGAGTATGCGCGGAGTGCGGATGGGATGCGTCTTGAGAACATGGCTGTTGGTTTGTGGTTGCAGTGCAAGTCTTGCTGAAATGTCGAAAGGTGGTCGTCGAAAACCCAGCGGCTGCACGTGGAATTGATGCCGCTCGCCTCCACCTCCCGCTACTCTTCTCTGACTTTGAGTCGAACAGGCATCTTTTCCTGTACATTCAACTGCAATCACCAAAATGCTCGCCACCCGCTCACTTGCACAAGAGGTTGCCGCTAGTGTTCCTCGGAACTCCGCTCGACGAGGACACAATATGGTCAGGCACAACATTGGCCTCAAACGAGCGACCCCGCCTCCCCACCTCCTCACACTCGCCGACCTCTCCACCAAGCAACTCACGAATCTCCTTGCCAATGCCGCTGCTCTTAAATTTGTCTCCAAATACATTGATCCCAGGGCTATCCCCAAGCAATTGTCGTCTCGGACAGTCGCTCTTATCTTCAACAAGAGGAGTACGCGAACTCGAGTCGCGAGTGAGACATCTGTGGAGGCTCTCGGTGGACATCCCATGTTTTTGGGGAAAGACGATATCCAGTTGGGTATCAATGAGAGCTTGCAGGACACTGCCCAAGTCGTGGGCAGCATGACTGATGGTATCATGGCTCGTGTCAATGGCCATGAAGAGATTGAAGTGAGTTTTGCCTAGATTGCTGAAGTTGTCGAGATTGACGCGCCACAGACCCTCGCCAAGTACTCCCCCGTCCCTGTCGTCAATGCCCTCTCAGATCTCTACCACCCCACACAAATCCTCGCCGACTTGCTCACCCTCCTCGAGCTGTACGCCCCCGTCCCCGCCCCCACCGACGCCGATATCACTACCGGCAAGGCTTACACTTCCGTCCTCAAACACTTCCAATCCAACATTGACCCCATCGCTACGTTGAAGGGTAAAAAGGTCGCTTGGGTCGGTGACACAAATAACATCACCAACGAGTTGCTTGTGACGCTTCCCAGGTTCGGTATGGAGTTCAGCGTTGCTTCTCCCAAGGGCTATGACAAGGTCGATGACCGAGTTTGGTCTCGAGTGTAAGTACCAAACTCGTGCTCGCCTTGAATATAAGCTAATTTCGTATTCAGCACCGACGCCAACACCCAGGGCCTTGTCACCCTCACCAATGACCCCGCCGAAGCCCTGCACAAGGCCGATATCGTTGTGACCGACACTTGGATCTCCATGGGTCAAGAGGCGGAAAAGATTGCCCGTCTTGAAGCCTTCAAGGGCTACCAAATCACCAACAAGATGGTTGCGGATGCCGGAGCCAACGCCGACTGGAAGTTCATGCACTGCTTGCCCAGGAAACAGGAAGAGGTCGATGACGAGGTGTTCTATGGAAACAAGAGTCTTGTCTTCCCTGAAGCTGAGAACAGGAAGTGGACCATCATGGCTGTTTTTGAGTGAGTCATGAACTTTGGCGACACGTTGAGCAGGCTAACTCTTGTGACTAGGGCATTCATGGGCCGATACACTTTGCCTTGATACCATAGACAAATAGCGTCATAGTTGTACCACCATTCTTCAAAATGCACTCTACTTTACAAGCAATCATTGAGTAGCACCATCGATGCATGATGGACATGGCGGTGGTGGTCTTTTGTAGACCTCTTATATTGGTTACGTAACTCTTATCTCTCGCCTATCCTCGTTGACTCGGGAGTCGGGGCTGCCGACTTTTTGAAACTACCTGTATTCTTCGTGCATCTCTACAAAATCTCAGCCACCACCTACACCATGTCCTCCAACGAAGACTTTACCAAGCGAAAGCTCTGGGGGTAAGTGTCTCCACGCCCCAACTGCACATCCCTGACGTCTCTTAGCGGCCGATTCACCGGCTCGACTGACCCCTTGTACGTCTCTACAGTCGCTGGCTGATCAAAGGAGCTCATACAGAACTCACAGGATGCACGAGTTCAACCAGTCCCTCAAGTATGACAAGCGCATGTACGCCGCCGACGTCAAGGGTTCCATCGCCTTCTCCAAAGCTTTGCTCAAGGCTGGTATCCTCGTCGAAGCGGAGCAGAAGGAGATTGAGAGGGGTCTGAAGGTTGTCGAGTCTGAGTGGGCCGAGAACAAGGTATGTTTCTTATCTTGCGAAACGAGATGCACAAGCTGATAGTTGAACAGTTCAAGGTCGAGGCGGACGACGAGGACATTCACACTGCCAACGAGCGAAGGCTGTCAGAGATCATTGGCAAGGACATTGGAGGCAAGCTCCACACTGGCCGAAGTAGGAATGACCAAGTCGCTACCGACATGCGTATCTGGCTGGTATGTTCCACGAATGAAAACTGCGAGAGCCCAAGCTCACAACGGACCTTCAGATGGAGGAGACCAAGATTGTCGAGAGCTACCTCAAAGACCTACTCAACGTCATGGTCACCCGTGCTGAGAAGGAGGTCGACGCCATCCTCCCCGGTTACACCCACCTTCAGCGTGCCCAGCCCGTTCGATGGTCTCACTTCCTCCTCTCCCACGCCCAATCTTTCCTTGGTGACCTCGAGCGTCTCCGTCAACTCTACCCCCGTATCTCTGTTCTCCCCCTCGGATCTGCTGCTTTGGCCGGTAACCCCTACTCTCTTGACAGAGAGCTGTTGAGGAAGGAGCTCGACTTTGAGCGCATCGGCGAGAACTCGATGCACGCTGTTGCGGACAGGGACTTTATTGTGGAGTGGTTGCAGTGGGCGAGCTTGACGCAGGTGCACATGAGCAGAATGGCGGAGGATTTAATCATCTACTCTTCAGCCGAGTTTGGCTTTGTCCAGCTCAGTGACGCTTACTCGTGAGTTTGGTCGTATTCTTATCGAGCCGAGCTGATAGTTTGCCAGTACCGGATCCTCCATTATGCCCCAAAAGAAAAACCCCGACTCTCTTGAGCTTCTTCGAGGCAAGGCTGGCCGAACCTTTGGCCAGATGGCCGGTTTTATGATGTCCCTCAAGGGTGTCCCCTCCACCTACAACAAGGATTTGCAGGAGGACAAGGAGCCCTTGTTTGACGCTGTGGACACTGTGTCCGCTGCCTTGAGGATCGCCGAGGGTGCTTTGGCCACTCTTTCCGTGAGTCCAACGCGTGTCCATAAGATCACAGACTAATGCGATGGACAGATCAACCCCGAAAAGATGGCCGCTGCTCTCACCATGGACATGCTCGCTACCGACATTGCCGACTACCTTGTCCGAAAGGGCGTTCCATTCCGAGAGACCCACCACATCTCTGGCCGTGCCGTGGCCCTTGCCGAAAACACCAAGGTTCAGATCTCTGACCTGTCGATGGCTCAGTGGAAGGAACTCGACGAGAGGTTCGACGAGACCGTCTTGGATGTATTCGACTTTGAGGCGAGTGTGGAGAAGAGGAACGCCATTGGAGGCCCGGCGAGGAGCATGATTGCCAGGCAGGTTGAGGTTGCCAGGCAGAGGATTGGCAAGTAGGCGATGAATCGATAGAAGAAAAGATCTTTCATGATAATGCATTGATATACAACTTTGCGCTTGCTTGGATAGACAACGCCAATGATTCCGATTTGACCCTATAATGTAATGTACACTCTTCACTTTGCCCAAGCTGATGGGATGGCCGCTATCACTTCCTCCCACCACTCAACTCTGCCCTTCTCCTCCTTCTCCAAGACTCTCACCAACCTTCCGCCCCCAAACTCCCTCTGCTCCCAGATCCTGTTCAATCTCTGCTCCGCATCGCACCAAAACACCTTCCACTTCTGGTCCTGCGTTCGCACAAACCCACTCGACCTTTCATAGTACCACTTATTAACGGGGTTATCTCCACGGCTTCGCCAGACGAGATCCCTGCCTCGACCAACACCGCGAAGGGACCCGATAGAAGGGTTGGAAGCGTCCAGTTGACCAAGACCGTAAGTCTCATCGCGCAGGGCAACCCAGAGGAAATCCACGGTACCATCTCCCTGGTGTGAGGGATGGACCGCAAACTTGTCGAGGTAACATATAGGCTCGGGATGTTCTGGTGGATATTGGAAGAGAGGCGCGCTCGAGTTGGATGGTTTTCCTTCCAGGGTGCAGACTGCAGCACCGGCATAGTCGCCTATGACGATCACAAAGTCCAGATCATTTCTCAGCCTCTGGTAGAACGCCTCCCTGTCCAAGGTTCGCCCGAACGAACTCTCAAGCAAGACGGTGAGCTTCTCCTCGTCGACTTCGTCCATGGTGCGCAACACTCGCACTGGGAGACCTTTTCGGATCAGAGTGGGCGTGTGGCGGGTGATGCGGCCTTCAGACTCGACAAGAAGAGCATGAGGGAGGGAGGCGGAATGGGCGGGTTTGTTGGTTATGAGGTTTGCTATCAGCGCCGTGGGTGAACGATGCGAGACAACCAAAGCGGAGGCTCCGCGGGGCATGTGGGCGAGACACCCTTTTGCCAGCGAAAGATTGGCAAGTGCTGTGGGGTGGGAGGCATTCCATTGCGGGAGCCAAGTGCGGTTGATGTATGTAAACTCGGAGGCAAGGTTGATGTAAAGATGAGGAAAGCTTCGCCGGGCGTAGGACGGGATGCCGCCTTCACGATTTATGATCAACAGTCGCCGAGGGGTCAAGTCAACCGGACTGGAAGACGTGGCTGACATGGCAGAGGCAAGCGCCAGCAGTACTTTGTTTGACTGTATCCTCCTCGAGCGACACCCAGAGTCCAGTGCTACTGGCAGCAGCACCGGTATCTCGCCTTCTCCTACAGCCCTCCTGATATGGTCCAGCCCTTCGTCCTCCACAAATACCCCCTTCTGCGCTTCCTCCGGCTCCAGCTCTGGGTCCGATATCCGCGCCACAGTAGAGAAGACCGGTCTGGCCGGTGCCCTGTGCCGTGTCAAGAACTGTACAACCCTCTCCACTTCATGCCTCACAATCGCCCTCTGCCTTTGCGCCTCGAATTTATCTGCCGGGTCTGTTGCAGGCAGGTCGTCTCGGTCTACGACAATGACAGGTACAAGACCCAGCTTCCGAAGGTGGGCCAGACCGCGACAAATAGAGTCGAGTTGAGGGTCCGTGAAGGGGCCTTGGACTTTGACTAGAGCTGGGCGGCGGTATACGGGGTTCAACAAGGAGTGGACAAGGTTGTCTTGCGGCTCTTTGGGGGGGTTTTGTGAACTGTCGGTAGTCGCTGGGGTAGCAGAGTTGGATTCAAGGATGGCCGAAGGCTGAGGTTTGGGCTGGGGAGGGGCGAATGAGGAGAGATATGAACGGGAGTCTCGTTTTGAAGGCGAGGCTTTCAATATCGAAAGGATAAAGTCCTGATAGAGGTAGTCAGCAGTGGATCCATGATACCCTCCAAGTATAGCAACAAACCGTGTCTTCATTTTTTATCTCCTGCAGAGTCTGAGCATCATGGTGCCGCTGTCGAGCCTGTTGTGAATCTCATTGTCAGCTATTGGCCCTTGGATTAAGCTCGACAGACTCACGATGAGAGGAGCTCGAGCATGAACCGACCTGCCCACACTGGCCCGAAGGGTGGAGGGGAGGCTGAAGGGTCGCGCCATGGCACTTTCGGGGGTATACAGGGGTGCGCCGGGATATTTGCAGATGGGAAATGGATATAACGGGAGAGTCGACAAGTCAAAATACCGACTCGCTTATTGACGATAACTCTCCTCGCCGCTCTCGGGCGGCAGAGCGGGCATGTATGACTCTTGAACATTCTCAAGTCAAGCCCATGGAACAACCGTACCGTATAGGACAGTCTATCAAGACCTGAATGACCCAGGTTCATGCATAGGGGCAGTATATATATGTTTTTCTTCACATCCTTTGTTCGTCTCTACGCCCGTCCACCTCGCAAGGCAAGGACCAAGTGGATGACAGCACCAGCCTGAATCTTGTAGTCCTGGATAGCCTTCTCATCGTTCCTACACCTTGCAGTCAGCACATGTCTGTCATCGGCGGATGGCGGAAGAGCGAGCCGCAAGCCTTCAAAGTCGACATACATGGCTTTTCCACCGAAAATCAGCCGTTGTTGGACAGGGGGGATACCAGCTTTCTCTTCGACTCGGTCCTTGACCTTGCTAATCTATAGGTGGGATGGTCGCATATGGTCAGCACATCGGGTCGCCGAGAACAGTAGTAGGGTGGGGTGGGTGAAGCGGGACGCACAATCATATCGGGTTGAACGTCAATGTCGACCTTGGAGACGAAATAGTGAGCGATAAAGCACCGAGGCCAGTAGCGATACGGCTACTCACCTCCTTACCGGTAAGAGTCTATACGAGAGAATGGTCAGCATTCATGCGGGCTGGAATAGCGGGACACGCACCTTGACCTTGACAATCATTGTTGCTGAAGGGTGCTCTGGTGTCTAGTATTGGGAGGTAGGACACTAGGATTGATCAGGGAGTATAAGCGGTTTGGAAACGTCCCGAGTTTGTAGGAAATGGAGATTTATGAAAGTGGGAGATGGAAGCGGCGCGAACGAAGGGAACTGCAAGTCGCGTCACCTTCGTTCCTCTCGCGTCACCTTCGTTCCTCTGCTTCTACATCAATCCCACATATATTCGTATTCTCGTATGTCTATGCCCCGCACCACATCACAAGCATAGCAAACACCCCTCGGTCCCTCTCCTCAGAAGCGCCGTCGATTTCATATCGGGTAGGTCTTACATGACAGCTGCCCCCATGACGCGCCACAACATTACGCGTCAACCGCCACTGACCGGGTGGGACTTGCTCAGGTAGTCCCACTCCTCTATCAGCCTACTATCGACTCCAGCAGCTACTCGTGCTACTGACATTTAATAACGTGAACGATGGGGAAAGCTGCAAGGGGTAAGAAGCGGACTGCCGCCGCTGGGGTGCCCAAGAAAGCTCCTGCCAAAAAGGGCAAAGCAGGTGAATTGGTGTTGCACGTAGGATCGAGAGCATACTTCTGACGTATCTGGGCTACAGCACCCGCCTTAGGGAGCGCTGTCAAAGCTGCAGAGACTCCAAAGATTACACCGACCCGCGCATCAGCTAGGCTCGCCGCACAGACCCATTTCAACCAACCTCCTCAACTCGCCGACGAGTCCGCACCGGACCCCCGGAAGCCTTCTGCTCTGGCATCCACCTTCTCGCGTGTACTCAGCCTGGGGGACATTCAACAACCAAGGAATCCCTCAGCTCTCCAAGGACCCGAACAAGGTGGCTATGACGAACATGGCTTTTGGAAGGCTCCAAAATCTCCGCCTATACCCACGTCTGCTCAGCCTTCAACTCATGCAACACAAGCTGAAGATCTCGGCAGTACCCAGTCCCAGGGTGCTCCTCTACCTGAAATCACGCCTTCTCGCAAAAAGAGGCACTTGTCTGTTCCCTCATCCTCATCAGCTTCGCCCACACCTCCGCTTACGGTTCTGCGTACGCCTTTCAATAAAGACATACTGAATCGCCCTCCGACCTCAAGCCGGAACAACGGTCACTTTTGCAGCACTCAGGGGTACACTCCTCCATCACATGCTAGGGAGGAACTGTTCCGTACAAAGAGCATGATCCTGCCCCCACCATCCCATCCGGACCTCGATTTCTTTCGGAACCCTCGTACCACAAACACAGTCCGGAATCCGATCTTTATCTCTACCGCTCCTGCTGTTCCCATACCTTACTCTCAAAGGCTCGCCGAGAGGGCTGACGAGGGCACAAGTGACTCGGACGATGGCGAAGTTGTGGCGTCAGTGGCGCAATCTGATACGCGCCATCCTCGCCTGCGCTTGCCTGGAGGAGAACCTTATGTCTCTAGCGAGGATGAAGGGAAGCAGGAAGACGAGGAGATTCTAGGAGTGGGAGAGCGAGTCGAATTCTCCCAGTCTTCGAGTCAACCAGCCGACAAGGATCAAGTTTCTCACAACACAACTCCGACGATATGGCGCGACCCCTTCTCCTATATTCCGGCCGCTAACACACAGTCCGCCGCTGCTCTAAACGCTCAAGGTATGGACCAATCTCAGGAAACATCTCCTGAGGCTCCAGAGCTCGTACAAGCGACTGCGAGCGACTGCCCGTCCAACCCTGATGAAGAGCTAGGATCTGAAGACTCGCGGTCAGCCCTCTCAGCTCACTCCGCCGAAACGTGTTCCGACGACCCTCCCTTGCAGCTTTCCAGGAAGAGTATGGCTCTCAAAAACAAGACGTACGGAAAAGGCCGCTCTCACGCTTACAAGACTGGCCTTCCCGACCCTGTTCGAAACGCTCACCGGATCAGCCTGACACCGCCCATCCACGCGCCTACACCACAGCTTGACGACTTACCAGCGGCGAACAGTGTCCCGGATTCCTGTCTTCCACCCGAGGCTGACGATGACGAAGAGACCGACGATGACGGGCAAGAAGAGGGCGAGTCAGAGTTGTGGTCTTCTCAAGAAGTGATACCTACCAAGCGGGGTCCTATGGCTCCCATGACGTCCAGAAGCTTTGCATCCCCTCGAAAGGCTGGGCACGAGGCTGCTCTTGCGAGGGGGTCTCCAAAGAAGAAACAGCGGCTTGATCAGGCAGATCAGCCGTCTCCGTCTTCGAGGGGATCGCCTCTCAAGCTGTCACGAAGTGCGTCATGTGAGGTTCATTTGAAAAGGTGAATCAATCCTGGATTTCTCGTGTGTCTTTTTCTAACCACTTTATAGCTATGTGCAAAACATACGGTCTCAGAAGGCTTCTCGCTCTAGTATCAGACGAGTCTCAGTCCGTCGCGCCCGTGCCTTCGAGGGTCACACACTTCAACCATTCACCTCCACCCCTTATTCCGCATACATCTCACAATATCGTCAAAACCCTGGCCCTCTGATGTTCCCCACTCCTTCGAGCCTTCTTTCGCCAGATATCTACGTCAATCCCCGGACTCAATATGCGAGTCCTGGCAAAACCGGAAAGGGAAGGCAATACGCGAGACGCCGGACGCCGCCAGCATTGTACCCCACCCAAGGAGACCCGCAATGGGAAGACGAGATCGACTGCACAGTGTCAGTCCGGGGTGAGAGTGTTCCCCCGAGGGGCAGGGCGAGAAAAACGGCGGGAAAGAAGAAGCGTGTGCCAAAGCTGAGCTTGGTGACGGCAGCATCAGCACAACATTCGCCGACCCGGGCACAGTATCCTGCGAAACAGGTCCAACGTCAGTCACCTCAAAAAGCCGCTAGCACAGCAGCTCAACCGACGGGCAACGGCAAGGCTTCCATACCGGGTGGAGGAGTTGTACACCACTCCCCTGATAACACGAGGGTCGTACAGCGCAGGCATGTTCTGCCAACTGTTGTTAAACAACAACATAGGCTGTCAGCCCAGCGAGCGGCAGCCGATCGCACCCCTCTTTCTGCGAAGGATATCAGCGCCCCTAAGAAGTCCACGCATGTCTCTTCCCCCACAAAGCCGGTGTCCTCTACTCGGAAAAGCAATGTTGAGCGGCCAAACACACCGAGTACCCCGGCCATCAGAAGTTCACTCCGGAAGGCCAACGCACCGGCGGCAAATTCCACTCATGTTCGCACAGATGTATCGACGTCCAAGTCTTTTCAATCAGGGGTCAACAACATCCCGGCAAAGGCACCATCTATGAAGGCATCATGGCCTCTGCGCAAGGATCATCAATCGGAAGAGATCGCGGCTTTCCCCTCACCATCCGGAAGACCAACTCATATATCGCTCTCCATCGCCCCTGCGGACAGCTCAACAGGGGAGGCTTCTCGTCTGCAGACACAGGTGTCGGGCCCCAGGGAAGTTACTCCTCGTCCAGAACAGATATACGAGTTGATCGACGCGATTGAAAACGACTCTGGCAATGCGAGCGGTGATGTTCGACAGAGGTCAGGTCAAAAGATGAGCGGGCTGGAGATGACCCAGCATCTGATGGCTGGAAACACTGGTAACAGGAAAAGAACGTCCTCTATCCAGATCTACCAAGGAACATCGGAAGCCCGAGTCGGGAGAAAGTCACAATCCGATCACAGGCTCCCCGAAACAATGGGGCACGGGTCTTTCGGGAAGAGGAAGAGGCAAGGAACAGACGACATCAGTGAAGACGGGCGGGTCTCTCCTCACAGCGCCCGACATCTGCCAGCCACCCCTGCCCCAGCCCGAGCTCGAAAGCAAAGCCTGGGCATTCCATCTTCCACTCAAGTCAGGCCATTGTCTGCGTTAGCAACGCCTGCAGGGTCTAGAGTAGTAAAGAAAGGATTGTCAACGATGATCGCGCCGACGCCAGCACATAAACAGATTACGATGGAGCCCGTCAAGTCGCAGGCTGCAGTCTCTGCTACTCGTGAGTAGGCTAGCACCTGATCATCAAAGGTCACTGACATGCAATCAGACTTGAAGCTCGCCAGCCGACAGCCCTCTTCCACACAACACATGCCTCACCCTCAAGGACGCCCCGCGTTGAGTCAGTACCCTACCAACACTCTCGAGCGCACAGAGATGGGATCCTCCGCCCGAGCTCGGATGACACAAGGGCTCGAGAAGACTGAAGTTGGCAGCTCTGCTGCAGCTCTCAAGAGCCGACGCAGCCAAGGTGCCTGGACCCAGCAGGGGCTGATCAAGACTGCAGCTGAGAGCTCTATGCGAGATAGGGATGTGGGAGGGACACCTGGGCTTGGGCTGAGATTGGAAAAGAGTCGGTTAGACATGGAGAGCTCCCCTCAGACTGCGCCTCAAACTCGAAGGTGGAACATGGAGGATAGCTCTCCCACATCTGACCGTGGCCACCTGGCGCCTGACGCAGCTTTCACTCAAAGCCTCCCCGATCCATCCTCCCTTCCTGGGCGTCGGAGCATGGCTCATGTGTCGGACTCCGGGAGGGAAGCAACTCTTTCCCCTGAGGCGCCTCCCCCAGTGACCCAGACTCTTCAACGCCTCCGAAGCCGGTCTCTTGGTCGACGATCCCTTGGTCTCCGTGCCCCACGCTCCTCTGCCTTCCTGTCTTCTCCTCAGACCCCCCACACTCAGAGATCTCATCGTACACAGATCCCTCCTTCTTCTCAAAAGACACCCAACGTCTCTATGATGCCCAGTCGAACACAGAAGACGGTCGGACCTACTCAGAAGCAAAAGTCTCGAGCGTCCCGAGCCACCCAAATCCAAAAGGTCTCGCAGACCCAGCACCCAGTGTATAGTCAGAAGCAAGGCGGTAATCCTTTCGCCCAGTATCGATCACCTTTGAAGGGTGTTTAGCGTCAGCCTCAACGCCAATAGGGACTGTGACACTGTGAAGCGTCTGGGATAGCTGGGGTCTGTTGTTATATGGAGGCTTGGAGACGACGGCTGCCTGGTTGAAAAAGAAATCTGCGACTGGCGTAACAAGACGACCGTTATATTTCGAAGGGGAACAAGATGTGACAGACGATAGGCTCTAGTTATATATAGTAGCCAAAAACATGTATAGTCTATATGTCCAGTGGCCATCCAGGCCATCAAGTAGCTCCAGTGTAAATGCATACCAGAGTGCT